TTATTTTAAAAAATTGTAGAGAGATCTACATACATAATACATAATTCTTATTTATTCACTAAAATTCAAATTGGAATCAAAGTGGCAATTGAGTGAGAAGTAGAGAAAGTCATCTCCATTGCATATAAAACTATGATTTCGATGGGAAGCATTAACATTTCTACGAAGAAATGGCACTGATAATATGTAATTTGTTTATCGGAGATTTGGATTTAAGGGTAAATTTGATGTTATGTTGAATATTATATTGTTATTTATATAAATAAGAAGAATTAGTGTTAGATAGATAAATAAATAGAAACTAACTGTTAATACTTAATATGTAAATTATCTAACATTGGATTATAAAGTTGGTATGTGTACTTTTTATCAATTATTATTTTAAATTTAAAAATTATTTAATTAAAGAGAGAATAAAATAGTTATATATATATAGACACCCATCATATTAGACAATAAGGTACCCAATTGATTGGATCTTGTTGCTCATATGATTGTATTATGTTGCTTATATATAAATTAATTTCCTAAGTTTTTAATCATATAATAGCTCAATATAATTTTATTTTACTTTCAATATATAGATACTTTTATGTACCTAATAAAAGAGCATATATGACACCATTTAAAAAACCTATAATCATAAATGATTATATTTGATGAAATATTCGAAAAAGTGGTAAGAGAGAGCATTTTGGTTCAAAATAAACTTTCAAAATCTTTATCAACTAATATTTCATTCGAGATAACTTTTTTACTGCTTTAAGAAGCAACTTTATATTATTAAAATTTCAAATTTAAAATTTTTTTACATTAAAAAACTGCTTCATATAACCATAAGAAAGCTATCTTAAACAAACTTAGGCTTTGTTTGAGACGGCTTTTTTATTGCTTTCTAAAACGGAATTTTAGTACAAAAAAAAATTTGTACTAAAACTCCGTTTTAGAAAGCAATAAAAAAACCGTCCCAAACGAAGCCTTAATTTAACTAGCTTCTACAAACCATCACTTTGTTTATTAATTCAACAATTTATTAATTTTCTATGAAATTAATATAAGTTAACATAAATCTCTATTATAATAAAAATGATTTACTTGATTACCCTTATACAATGTCTTAAAACATAATAATATAAATAGTATTTTATAAGAAAATATTTTTTCTTCCATTCTCTATTTATTTTCACGAAGAGGAATGGAGATAGGAAAGAAAATGTGTGTGCGTTAGTTAGAAAGAGAGAGAGAGAGAGAGATATGGGATCACCAAAGGCCACCTATCACAACAGAAATTCCTACATGTGGAGTCAAGACGTAGCTCTACTCCCAAACTTAATTAAATAAAGACGCATAACTTAACATGACCCGCCGACCTGACTCTCTTATATGAACAAATATTAGGTCAGATGACCTGACGTAACTCTATGTTCGAACGCCAATAATATGTCACCACGTGGTCTTACTCAATACCGCGCGGCCCGACAACTTGACCCGGGATTGTTATGTTCGCATATTGCTCTAGGTATTGCTCGGTATTGTTTGGCAACAATGAAAAATATCGCTCTGTGAAGACCAATACCGAATACCTCGGTATTACTCGGTATTTCTCGGTATTTCTCGATATTAGTCTTCACATAATAATATTTCTCGTTATTGCCGAGCAAAATCGACCAATACCGAGCAAATATCGAACAAATACCGAGCAATACCTAGCAACACGCGAACATAGCAATCCCGTCTCCGTTCTGGGTAGGGGTTGTCGGGCCACACGGTAAATAGTGAGAATATGCAACACTATTTTACTGCCGTCCGAACGTAGAGCTACGTCAGTTGACCGGACCAAATAAAAATTCCTCTTATACACACTGTGTATAACTTATACATAGTTTGTGTCCAAGGCCAAGTCGGGTCATCAGATCACGCTAAAAAAATGCTACATATCTTCATTTAATTAAAAGTTCGAACATAAAGCCATATCCTCAATCCGCGCCTAATAATTTCTCCCACCACACACCCTTGGTGTGTTTCACTTGTGCAAAAAAGATAGATGTATAAGGATGCGCATTACATCACATAAGTTCAAAAAATAAAAACCTTGACAAAATCAATATCCTCAACATAAATCACACTTACATCTATACATAAATACACAGAGTCCCAAAGTTTACCGAAAAGCAAGTCTAGAAGGTTTGCTGCAAGCCGACTGCAATTCGGCGAGGCACAAAAGCAAGAGAGTTGAAGAATGATTCAGTGCAGTGCGCAATAAAGCGAGGCACTGAAATCAGCAAAGCCATCACAGCGATGGTGAAACAGCTCCAGCATGATCTGAGCAGCAACACAGGATGTCTTCTTACTTCCCTTACCATCCTGTAAAATATGACTTTGACCCTGCGGTCTCTCATTATAGTATAAAGCTGAGAAAGGGTAGTAGTTTTGGTTTGTTCTTCCAGTTCAATGGTCTGAGCCTTGTAGGGGCTCCAGGGTTTGTTATCCCTCATGATGGTTTTGCTCATCCAAGCGTAAATTACATCAGCAAGAACATTGCTGATGTGTTGACGGAATAAGATGGCTTCTTTTGAAATCATAGCACTACAGAGGGAAACTGGGTCCTGAAAACAGCATAAGATATTAATTTGGTTCGCCAAATTTTAGGAGGTGCAAACCGGAAGATATCTGTAGGGCTAGCAGGGGCGGCAAACCGGAACTGATAAAGAAAAAAAAAAAACAATTGTGGGAGAAGGAAGAATTTGAACATTTGAGTGCACCTCTTGTGCTTGACGTTTGATTTTGTTAGATTTGAAAAGACTTAAATCTTTCGACCTATGTTGCACCGTTACACCTATTTATGAAAGTGTGTTGTATCTGATACGGCACCGACATGTATCCAATTAAAATACTATTTAATTTCAAAAGGACACGCGTATCCATTGAAAAAAATCGAAAAAAAATACTCATTGTATTTCATGCTGCGGCTGCAAGCAAGGTTCTCTCATTTCCAAGATGGATTTGAGTCTCTTGATGATATGAGAATATTAGAAATTGCTACTCTTTCACTTGATGAGCCTGAATCATAAGCTATGATATTTATTGAAGATGATATAGAAGTTCAAAGACAAACCACTGAAGAAGCTAATCATATCATTCCTTCTGTTGAGTAGTTGAAACTTCATGTGCTAGACAATTTATGTTTATGCTTTTGTTGTTGTACTAGATATTTAGGATATGTTTGGGACGGCTTTTTTATTGCTTCTTAAATATGCTTTCTAGTTAAAAAATTAAAAAAATTGTACTAGAAATCTGCTTTAAGAAGCAGTAAGAAAGCCGTCCCAAACGAAGCCTTAATGCTTACTTTTATTTTGATATTATAAGCGACAAGGCTACAAATGATGTTACTTTTATTTTATTTTTTGTAATTTCAAATATTATCCGACCCCACATAGTGGGATAAAGGCTTGATGTTGTTGTTGTTGTTGTAATTTCAAATATTATGCTTTGATTGCTTTTCTTAATTTTTACGTATGATTTATAAATTATAATGTCTTGTCCGCACCATACCCGTATACTGTATTTTTAAGAATTGACGTGTCCCATATCCGTATCGTGTCGTATCCGTGTCACTGTATCTGTATCGGTGCAACATAGCTTTCGACATAACCTTGGCTAAATCTATGCAAGCGGATGTTGTTAATTCTCATCTTTTGGGGTATCAGCTACCAGGGTTCAAGTGGAAATGCGCGTTTAACTTCTTTGCTTGGAAAGGATGTGTGGATTGGCACATCGTTTCATAGCTCAAAAATATTATAAACTTGATTGGTGAAAATAATGTAAATATGGCCTAGCAAAAGCAATCAAACAGGGATGATGGGCAGCTCCTTGGAAGCATCAAAATAGGAAAAAGCAATTTTAACATTGGAAACGAATAACCACTAACATAATAGGTGCGTAGAGAGAAAAGTTGAATGCAATCTGCTTCTAATGAAAGTCTAATAATGATATGATAATGATCAATAGGCCCAAGTGACATTTAAATCTGACATGAATTTAGAATAACATCAAGGTTGGGGCGACCCAAGAAGAACTTGCCAATAATAGAAAAAGGAAGTACTCAAGCAAGCTCAGTGATATCATATATATATATATATATATATATAAAGAAGAGTGCATGCTTTTCTTGATAAGTAGGAGCTTGCTTATGTAAAGTGGATATAAGTCTTGAAAAAAAATAAAAAAAAAATTAGCTAAAGGAGATGTATGTGACCCCGAACTTGACAAACCACCCGTCAAATTTGCGAAGGGAAATAAAGTGCAAGCAAAACGATGAGTCTCTGAGTCAAGATGACTATAGAAGGGGAGCCAATGAAACCTTAGGACCTGTCAAAGAGGTAGAACTGAAAATGAGTTTGGAGCGAGGAGAGGAAACGCAACCAACTGTAGCCTGATAAATGACAGGACAAGAGAGGGACAGATTTACAATAATGAAATATGAAAGCCAACCTCAAAGGATAGCAATGACTGATGAGTGAGAAAAAGAGAAAGGCAATAGTTTTATATTGCTTAACGCTAACCAATAGAAGTGGCACCCATAAAGTAGAGGTGTAAGTGCGTCCAATGCCACAAGCATGCGACGAGGTGAAATGAGGCATTTTAGCATTTATAAACAATATTCAATAAATATTACTTTAGAATAAGTGAAATTTAGACATACAACATTTTATGCGCATTGGATCTTTTAAAAAAAATCAAAATAAATGAGGGCATACATGATAGATGACGACCAGGGTTTAGGGTTAAAAACATAACCTAGTATGAGATGTAAAATTAAATCAAACTAAAAATTTATAAGCCTTAAGTCATCAAACTAAAAAAAGTTGCTTGTAAAGTAAAGAAAATAAATATGCTTTGTTCATTTTAGAAGATAATTTAACATCACCTAAAATATGAAATTCCACAAAAAAAAAATAATGGAAAAAAATACAATTTCAGCAATTAATAAAATTTTTCATGCTTAAGAAAGAATAATCGAAGAGTATCTCGCTTGAAAGAATGTCCACCACACATGCAAAATTAGTGACTAAACATAAGTCAAATCTAATGCATCTACTTTCCTAACTAGGTCATCGGAAGGCCGCCGTTTTATGTGACCAAATAATCTAGGGCGACTCTCTCTAATCTTATCTTCCACTAGAGCTACTCCAACATTTTCACGTATATGCTCATATCGTATCATGTCTCTAAGAGTAAAGACACTCATCCACATGAGCATCCTCATCTCTACAACACTTAATATCATGCTTCTCTTTTAATGGCCAACATTCTGCACCATAAAGCGTTGCAGGTCTCACTACCATCTTATACAATTTTCCCTTAAGTTTGAGAGGGACTTTTCTATCACACAACAAGCTTGATGCATTCATCCACTTCAACCATCCAACTTGAATTCTACTAATAATATCCCCATCTATTTCACCATCACTCTGAACAATAGATCCAATATATCTAAAACATGTACTCTTACTAATGACTTAATCACCCAAAGTCACAATCTCCCCACTAAATCTATTATTACTAAAATTACACTACATATATTAAGTTTTAGATATACTCAAACGAAAACATTTAGACTCTAAGCTTGACCTACATAATTCAAGTTTACCTTCAACTCCCTCTCTAATCTTATCAACAAGAAGAATATCATAAACAAAAAGCATACACCAGGGTACCACCTCTTGCAAATGTCTAGTGAGAACATCCATGACTAAAGCAAAAAGATATGGGCTTAAGGCTGATCCTTGATGTAATCTAATTGAAATAGGAAAATACTTGGTCAAACCACCTTATGTTTGAACACAAGTAACAACTCCTGCATACAAATCCTGAATGACTTGAATATAAATATTATTAACCTCTTTTTTATGTATAACTCTCCATAGCACTTCTCTTGGAACATTATAATAAATAGAGACATAAATAACGGGAACAAATAGGGGAAAACAACAAGAATAAAATATAAAGGTAGTGTTTATGAACAATACTAGTATGTGGTGAAGAGCAGTAGGAGCACTTAAAGATGAAAAATGCAGCAGTAATTGGTGGAGAAATAAAAATAACAATATTGGAGTAATGATAGTGAACTCCCTATATGTTGAATGAAATTCAATAAGCCAAATTAAAATAATACAAAAGACCTAATAGATTGTCCAAAATAATAGAGAACACAACCAAATCATAAAGGAGACTTTCATATTAGCATCAATACAATTTAGATAAAAGTTGGTAATTAAACTAGATAAGTGCACTATGAATCCTATGTGATAAGAGAACATACATGTATATTGCAAGACTTGAGAGCCGATATCTTAAAACTTAATTCAACTAATTAAATCAAATAAAAGATAATGAGGAATGATTATATTAAAGTGAGGGTGAAAAAACAGTCAAAGATGATAACTACAAATTAACTTGGGTGATTTGGTGCATGTACAACAAGTAAAAAAAGATGCACCATTGTGGCCAGGTAGATAAAATTAGCGAATACAATAGCATGGCTAAAGTTGCACAAAAGGCTTCCAAAATGGAATTTACACCTGCTTAGGAATCCGGAGGAATAATTGGCGAAGGACGTGTAGTAAGGCTTGCATCCTAAATGGTTGGGATAAGGCCAATTATGATGATGACAACTTTCAAGGTTTTAAGTCAGCTAAAATGAGAAGCTATTTAAAGCAATATAATTTTATTTCAAACCACCATATTTCATACTTCAAGTCTTTTAAGATGTTTTGAGATTGCTCATGCTAGAAATACAGCTTAGATATTGAATCACAAAATTCAAGAACATTTAAAAAGCATGCATACGAAAAAATAATAATAATCTTTCAATGCAAGAAATTAGAAAATTCGACAATTGAGGAAAGAAAAAAAAAATAACATGACATTCATTTAAACGGACAAGCAATTAGGATATAACATGATTTAGAAGTTGCAATCTTTCATAAAACAAATCTAGTAAAGGCCAATGGACATACCGCTGTCACCACCAATCTTCTTAGGACAGCACCATCCTTTGATGGTAGAAGCCTTAAGATTATGTTCAATAGCTCGGAAACATCATGCTCACTTGTTTGACTTGCGGGCTCATTACTTGCGCTCATGCTAATCCCCATTGGTCCTCCTCTGCATTTGCTTAAAAATTAAACACATGGCCCAGTAGTAAAAAATAGGAATAAAACAAGATAGGTTATTCACCAAGCCCATTGAAATTGGATAATGCAATTATATGTTGTAAGAACAGAAATCCATTCTTAGATGGGCTAAAAATAGACTTAAAAGTTGGGCAAGCCAACCTAAGTGAAGTTTGAAACTCTTTGAAGTTCATTTACATTACAATTCTTCTGGAATCTTGAACTAGATGACAGAATTCATAGTTCAAAGAAAAGCATGCTAAGGTCATTGAAGTGCTCCCTATCACTAGAATCCTAAATTTAACTCAAATAGGTTTGAATAGCAACAGCCATGGGATCTAGGTAGGGTATATATATGCACCTTTCTACTCGGATCCAAGCCAAACACAATTGCAACCAAACCTAAACCAGAAAAAATTAAACTGACCAATACCAAACCAATAGTGGATACGTTTTTGTTTTAAATGCAAAACCTGCTGCACGTTTGGTCAAACCATTAAGCAACCAGTTTTAGGTTTAGTTTGGTTTGGCACAAATTAAGCCAAAACCGAAAAGGGGTTCTGCAGGTGAGAAGTTAAAATCAATCATGTGCTTTAAATCAAATAGGTAAATTACACTATGTACAACCAAGTTAGGTTTAGCTTTGGTTCTATTAAGTTTTCTTGAACAACATGCGTAAATAAAACTCAGACAAACCAGTTTATAAAGTTTCAAAATCTAAACCAAACAAAACTCAAATGAAACTGTTTTGTTTTAGCCTTTGGTACGGGTTTTCAATTCAGGAAGATTTTTGTAATCCGTTCCAGAAGTTTCCATCTCCCATGTTTGCTATATGTGTATACCCTTGGTTGTCTTCAAAGGTATTTTCACAAGTAGCGATTGAATCGTAGCAAGGATATTCATTCCCAGGTGCAGATGCCTTAATGAACTCACCAATATCTACTAGATGAATCCATCCAAGAAGAGGGCGCCACTTGCCCACATCTGCACAAAGAACTCGCCCTATGTTGTGCAAACAGGTCTTTCGACCAGAAAAGTAGATCATCACTCACTTCAATCAAGCTCTTACCATTGAAACCCTCCAAACTCACCTACAAGAAGGCGCCAACCTCAGCAATCTCACACTCATTCAGCTACAACTCATCCCAAGCTCGGGAACTCACTATCTCCGCTCACACTACAGCTCGCCTTCATCAACAGAACCACGCCAAGCCTCGTAGATTATTTGTCGACATCACAAGACAACCCTCCGGCTACATATCTACCCTTTCTCCCCCAACCACAGACCACACGTCAGGTCATTAATTACGCCTTCCCAAGGGCCTATCAAAGGGCGTCACGTGTCCTAGACTAGTGTATAGCATTGTATAAGCCTCTACACGTAGCCCACATTTTCTATTTCTTTTCTTGCAGCCTTTACTGTATCCCTCAAAGCTCTTTAAATGCGAGGTGACAAAGAATAGTTAATGATTTGAATTTTGACAATAGAATCAAACTATTTTCACTCATATGATCATGATGAAATAAATCAAGAAAGGTGTGGTGAGAATTATGTTGGTCCAAATTTTTCGCTTCTACGATGCCTCATGATTGCTTGAAAGACCGGCGAAAATGTGTGTGACATTAAGAAGAGCAAAAGAAAGCTATTCTTAGACAAATCATACTAGAATGTTCACTTATACAACATATTAATATGCTGGTCACATACAATGATAGAAGACCATAAACAAAACCGACAAAGAGGCAAATCATAGAAAAATCTAATATCAAAAAGTGCATATCAAAACAAAACTTTTGGGATGAGATCATAAGTTCATATAGGCTTACCGAAGGGATCCTACTTTCAGAAATAATAAGATATTCTTCCATTGGAGTTCCCTTTTCCCGTTGAAGATGACCTTGTCAATAAAAATAGTTGTTTAAAATCCAACCTGGTTCAGGCTCAATAACGTATCCCTCAAACGAATACATTCACAAAACTTTGGCAAAATAAAAGAAAGCTTGGTCTAATATACCCAGAAAAGCAGAAGCACACTAAATCAATGATTTGAATTTAAGCATAGTACACCAAATACTGACCCTCAATAAATTCTCATAATTTTTTTAGCTTGAAATGGATAGAAGGGCTAGCAAAGAATGCAATTATAACTTTGAACATAAACTAATATTATTAAATTGACTGATAAAATTATTTTCAACTTAACTGAAATAAAATATTTTTCCATCCAAACAATAAAGCCAATATATTCTTCTACAGCCAAGCATCTTAAAATAAGAAATTGAGGAGAAATACAATTAGCATCAACATGCAAGAGGAACTGATTAACTATTGAAGTCATTTTTTCCATGGCTCCTGATGACATTTAAATTATAGAAATTCCAGCACATTTGTTCAAGCATTGGAGAATCTAGGCATTCTACGTATGAAAATAATATTTTGGACGGCCATGAAATCATCTAGCATGATACTTATGTTGTCCAGCAAGTTTACATTTCTTCTTCGACTAAACCATCCGCCATATACTGGGACACGTGGCAGAAAATTTTCCACAAAAATGATTTAAAAAAGGCCTTTTTCTTTTCAAAATTATCATTTGCATGAACATGATAAAAAAAAGGTTCCTACGGCATTTTTATTTGTGAAACAAGGGCCTATAAATTAAAAATGAGATGATTTTTTTTTTGTTTAATGGCAATTGAACAGTTAAATGTGAGTTATCCAAAGATAAGGATGAGAAACTAGAATACCGAATATAAGATTCTTCTTGTAGAGGCTGAATTGTCGTAAAGAAGTTTTTTGACAACATAAGGGTATGCAGCATGGAAAGTTTTGAAGTTATTGTCAGCCGCTACTGCCAATCCTGTAAAAATAATGAAAAGCTATAATGGGTGAGTTCATTTTCAATGGATGTCAATGTGAAAACAGGCTACAAAAAATTTCTGATTAATACATAATATATAGTGGTTACCCTCCAATGAAGCCAGTGAGCGCAATACAAGAGTATAATACGGTGGCATACGGAAGTGATACTTAAGTGCTATAGACCAAATTTTGCCAAGAACCTACAAAATGTGAGTAACAAACAAACGGCTGTAACATAATTCTATCATTCAAGGCCAAAGAAAGTTAGAGGAAAGAGGATTAACAGACAGCTTGGAGTTTTTGAGATACGAATATCTGAATATAAAATAGTTGAAAATGAAAAATGTTTGAATAATGAAGATGGGTCTAAAAATTGAACTTGTATTTGAAGTTCAGTTAATTTTAGTTTTAGTATAGTTTAGTTAATTTGAGATACAAAAGCTCTTTGCTTTTGTGTTTTACTCATTCGAGGATCTTCTCTCCATTTATAATACATGAACAAGTATAATGATCTAAGGTATGAACTATGTAATCGCATATCACTAACTAAATATTGAGAATTTTCCTATTTTAAAATTTTCATGCACTTATACCCCATCAAGCTGAGGTGCATATAGCAAGTAGATCCAACTTTTAGCATAAGATCGAAAAAATGAAGAAGTCCTATAGCCTTGTGGAAAAGATATCAGCCAATTGCTCTTCATTGGCAACATGAGAAGGTATGACCTTTTCTAACAGGAATAGCATCCTCATAAAGTGACTGATAAATTCAATATGTTTAGTCTTTTTGTGAAAGACAGGATGGCTATCAATATTGATAGCAATTTGATTATTATAGTTTAGAATTATAGGTTGGACTAGAAAACCCAAACTCTTTGAGAAGAGTATTTACCCTGTTTGCCCTGATTGGATTTCAAGTTGCATCACCGCGAAGCCCTAGTCTCACGTAAGGACCGTACGCTCAAACTCAAGCACTTCCCAGCAGTAGTACTCACAATAACCGTCCCCATCGCTCATGTTTTGCATTCATTCCTACATGTAGACACAATCTTCTCACAGCCCAATGATTTGTCCATGTTAGTCTCCACATCAGAAGAAATTGTGTGATGCCCAGACTGCCCACAATCTTGCTAATGCCAACAAAGCTCGCGGACCCATCTCTCCCTTGCTTTGCTCTCTTACTATTTTTCAAAGACATTTAAGGTCAATAAAATATCCCATAAGACTTTGAATTTTTGAAATGAATAAAAACAATTTAAAATATTCTCTAAAAATTTAAAAAAAAAAATCCTACGAAATAAAGGTTATATATATATAGGGAATAATTTTTTTCATAACCCAATTTTTAATAAGAACCTAATACTTGAGTTGAACAATTGCATAGTTGTTTGATTTGGAGGATCGAGCGGCTAAATGGAATCTAGTGTATTGAGTTTGAGTTGAATGAATGTTGATTTCATGCAATAAAGGGTATCAGATACAAATACAATAATCCAACAACATTCCTATCATCTTCTTACTTCAATCCTTTAAAGAGAACCATCCATTGGAGATCACTAAATCTCCATGGGTGAAAGAGGGAGATAGCAAGGATTGGATTGAAAAATATCAATAAGGGTTATCTAATTAGACTTAGGATTGAATGGGATGACCACACGCATACAATCAAATGGCCAATAGACCTAAGCTTTCTAAGTTCAAGAAGATACCTTACTGAAGCTATTGTTCAATGGACGATGAAACACAGAAGTTTCATCTAACAGAGAAGGAACTTTGCTCAAGAGCTCCCTTATCGTTCCTTGTCGAGCTTTTTGAAAGTTGAACACAACTCCTTAGCACATTGAACACCAATCTTTCTCTTTATAGAATGGTGTTGTAGATGAAGAAGAAGCTATGGTTTTGGTTGAGATGAGAGAATGAGAAATTAAGGATAGGGAATACCTCCTCAACTCACAAGCAACCCGCACTCGAGAGCTATATGTCTCGGTCTTTCCTCTCTTCTTCAAAAAATAAAAACATCGCTATTCTTTTCACCCTCGAATTTATATAGCCTGCAATCATGCAAAGCCCCAAAAAAATTCCCAACATCCATTGTGCCCTCATATAGTTAAGGGTGAATAGATGAGATCAATCTCCACTAACCTGATGGCTTGCGATTGCTGGCGTCAGCAGCCGATCATGGGAAAATGATCGAGAAAGGACCACAGGCACAACAACTCTTCCCTCGTATAATCAGTCGTCCGATCTTATTTGAATTGATTTGAGAAGGCTCATGGGATGCTAAAGAGGCTAATTTGTAGCTTGATATTGTGATGGATGAACCAAATGAACCAACTAGGGTTTAATAGAGTTTTATTTTGGGTATGGACTGACCTGGCAGAGCCAAAGTGAATCCTATTTGACTCAATTTGACTTAATTTAGCTGTTGGAGGCTGAATTGAATGAACCAAATTAACAAATTTGAGCCAATTAATTCAATTTGAATTGATTTAGCTTGATTAAAATGGGGGCAGGTCAAAATTTTAAGTGAATAACTACTTTGATAAAATATTGTGCTTGTTGTATTTGTGTACTTATTATATTATTTTCCATATTTCATATTAGATTTATATTAGAAACCCTATGCTCGCCCCCACCATCACTTGGGAAATGACTTTGAGCGGGCCGCCAAGGTTTTTTTTTCCTTGCGCTCCTTCCCCTCACTAACAACTGCCCATCTCGTCGAGGAGCTTTCTTCCCCCACTTTTGATCTTTGCTACTCGTTACACTCATAAGCTCTCCCTATCTTCGATCCCCATTCAATTGCAATTACCTCCCTCCTTAGATGGTCATACCGTGACAATGGATCCTCCAATCAAGCCATTCTCATTGCCACTAATATTTTATCCAACCTGCACATCCTGTATTCTTAGTCCTTCTTAAAAGTTGTGGTTGGTTTTTCAGGCACAATATTGCATCAATCTACTTTCATCCAAATTCCTATTCACTTTCATAAAGACAAGCAAACTTCATCATTTCAAGGCAAACCACAGTTTATTGTTTATTTTTTCTGAAGAGGAGATCGTTGTTCTAGCTCGTCTGCTTTGTTTGTCAATTATTGGCAAGTTTCCATTGGGTCGTCCAAACATCAATGTCATGATTTCAAATTCTTGTCAAATCTACACTTGATTGGTGACTACTTTGTTGGGCTAATTGATTCTCGTCGCATCATTATAAAGTTATCTTCAAATGCATATTACATCAGGCTCTTCTCTAGACGCACCTATCATGTTAGTGTTTTTCCGATACATATGTTTTAGTAGTCTCCCTATTTTGAAGCATCTGTGAAACCAACCATCACGCCTGTTTGAATAGTGAGAGTATACTTATTTCAACCAAACCACTTTATACTCCTTTGGCTCAATCCTTAGCAAACCCTTGCAATTGAATGTTGCTACTGGTCGTTCTTTTAGTCATCTGCAGTCCGTATTTTGGTTGAAATGGATGTTATTTTGTCATTTGAAAAAGAGGAATGGATTGGTCAAGAGTCTTATAGTTATTCACAAAAGGTACTCTTTGAAGGAATCCCTCATAATAATCTTTATGTAAAATATTTGAGCAAAATTTCTACGTACTTCAAGCTTCGTCCTGATCTAATTACATCAAACATTTACGTGCTAGAGGAACATTTAAATGTCCATACTCCTCATAATCCCACAATAATTATTGCTCCATCATAAATTCAAATTTGCACTCAAAATTTGAGACCTCTAAACTTTTCTCATGATAATGAGATTGTTGTGCCCGCCCCTACTAGCCCTACTAAAATGGTCTCTACTTTTGTAAATGAGACAGAAATTTAGTTTGACAATCCCAAAAGTTCTCTCTCTCTCCAATTAGTGAAGGCGATCCTAACCATGACATTCTACATCCAGAGGATTCTAATGAGAGCACTATGAGTGGATGTTCTTATGGATTGGATATTTCAAATCCTATTAGCTAGATGGGGCCAAATCTATGTATATATAATCATTCTCTTATCTTTAACAAGCTCCAAGCAAGATAGTCCAACTGAGATATTTGTTCTATAAGATGGTTCATTCAATGGTTTCACGTATTATGTAATATTCCTTTTGTAATTTTTTGCACTCTAGCAATTTTTTATAAATTCCCTTGATGCGCTCATATCAATTTTGTTAAATATTACATTATTTGAAAAAACATACTCAGTTAAAATGCTTAAAAATAAGAAGTCACATCAACCGTTTTTTGTACAAGCTATGCAAATGAAAATAAATAACTAGTTTAAACATGCTTACAACATGAATAGGTCATTAACTGTAGCAACGGATAAGGCATGCATGGAATTCTCCAATTTATTAACTTCACATGTAAAGTCTAAAAGATATGGAAGTTTTCTTCAGAAACATAAAAAGAGGAAAACATATAATCAGAAAATTCCATGAGAATTTTGACATAAAATGGACAATGGTAACTAACCAAACTGAATTTGATGTCAGGGATTCCTTCTCTGTAGTCGACCTCACCTAAGGCCTCAACCAAATCCTGATACACCAGTTCAATACGCATAAAAAGATGATCTGGTCAAAACTTAGTTGAAACGACAAAAATAAGAATGCTGGCTCAATAAAATGGGCAAGATTCTTCAGAGATATCACGTCAGATCATATAACAAAATGTGATAATAAAACTGACATAATGCCGTAGTGGAAAAACGTTTGGATGAAGCTTGACAAAAAAACAATGAACCGGAGTTTATCAAACCAGTTCAGATATCTATGTTGATATGAACTTGAAACCTCGGTTCAAGCTTTCATTGGTGGAAACATAAAGTTAGTGAAAAAAAAGTTAATATTTTCTAATTTCTACATGTCTCAAACTTTCTAAGCAAGCCAAACTAGTTTCAAACGTTTCTGCTGTTTTCATGTACTCGAACAGTTAGAGCAGATTGGGTCAACATAATAAAAGATAATAGTTTCCTCATAAGATAATGATTGCATACATGCAAACTGGCGTTGAGACACGCGAGGATTGTAGCAAAAATTATGAAAACTTTAGGGGAAGATAGTTAAATGAGAAAACTAGAAAAGGAAAACTGAATTTCTAGTATTTGAAAAAGAGAAATTGAAACTAGGAAACACAGGTGGGAATACCGCTGTCACACGACGGAGATTAGTTCCTGGCCTTACAACATCCATCGAGGCCAAATCACAAACAAGAGCTCCCCAATCTCCATATGCGATATGGATAATGGATGCAAGCATAGCAATTTGGTGTTCTTGTTTCATCCGGCAAAGAAGACCAAAATCCAAAAATCTGAAATGGACATGTGGTTAGCTCAAAAAGATTAAGCATATATAAGTCATGTGACTAACAATTTTTTAAGCCTGATTCATATAAAGAATCAGAACTTGCAATGAACAAAAAGTCACAGTGAAGGAAACAGATTATTTATGATGATTTTCTCTAATGACACTATCAAATCATGTTTTAGAATAGGTTCTCTGTTCAATCAGCCAAATGTCAAAATAAAGCTAAAGTATTCACATACCCAATGCATCCTTCAGGTGTATAGCGCAAGTTCCCAGGATGCGGATCAGCATGCAATAAGCCTGTCTCAAGTAGCTGCACTAATGTTGCTTCCACTCCTTTACTAACCTTGAATTAATAAACACATAAAATAACACCTCTGATGGTTTATAGAGATGACTATTTGAAAATGATGAAAACAGTTCATGAATCAGATAGAAATCAGTAATATGATCCATATTACTAAATGAACATGAGAGTTTATGCATAACAGATACCTTAGCATCTCACAATATATTTTTTATTTTCAGCTTTCATAGATTGACCAAGACACCAAAGTCATCAAAGTACAATAAAAAAAACATTTAAATTTTTAGCCATGCTTTTGAATTTGATCATTCTGGAAACTACAAGAATTATGGATGTCAACTTCTCTTTTTCTGGGTTGGCCTGTGAATTGACACTACTTCTTTCTCCGAGTGTTGTATACAGATTGGAAAAAACAAGGTTGGGGAGTGAAAAACGTAAATAACTTTTTAAATTTCTAATGTTATCCAGTCCTCTACTAAAAAATGTATGCCTCGCATCTGTGATTACGTCCTCAGAAGGCATGTGGAGAATCATTAATAAATGGTACAAGTCACAAAATTATAAATAGCAGATAGAGAATTCAGAATCCAGATATATTGATCGTCAATGTAAAAAGCACACTCAGTTTGTGTGGGATCCGAAAATTTGCGCTCCGGACTCTCTGTGACCCTTTTCTTCTTCTTGGGTCAGCGAGGAGAGTTTTAATAAATTTAAATTCCGATGTAAACTTTCAGAAGGCATATTGGGTTCTAAATAAGACATTACCCAGAGATTTCGTCATCATTTTACAATGACTTTATGATCTGAGTTTAGGTTTTCCTATAGGCGCAAGCCTCTATAGTTAATTACCCCTCCTAATAACGAAACAAAACTTTAGATTAAGGCTAGTAGTCGTCGAACATATACGCAGTATAGAGCATATAATAGCAGCAAAATTAGATATTTGAAAATTGAAATTTATATCACCACACACTTAAAGCGAATGATCGGGGGAATGATGATAAACCTGATCAAGAATTAATGTCCACATGAATTGATTTTTGTATCCACTTTGAAAGATAATATAAAACACCAACATAATACAGAACTTTAAAGCAAGTATTCAAAATCTGCATGTTCTCTTATAGAAGTTGAAAGGATTTCAAAGAAATTTCTTCCATAAGAATATGAACATGAGAGAGATTTCCAAAAGTTTACAAAAACAAGCACATAGCAATCTTATACTAATCCAGTGTCTACACAAAAACATACCTCCTAACATGAATATTTACATAATATGTACAAAAAGAGAGACAAACAGATTACAGACAATGTAAAGATATTTGAAAGTATTTCTGTCAAAACTCATGCATCTTTAAATAACTTCAATGAAAAAAGACATCAAATTGCACTCATTAGGAAATTTAATTTTGTAGCTTGAATTGCTTGAGGAACTATAATGCATGGACAGTATTGATTGTTTTTCTCAGAAAGGAAAGACGTTTCTTGCAGGAAGGAAAGACAAGCTACCATCTCTACCCTCATGTATGCATAGGCACTATAATTACACTATTATATAAAAGCTGCAGAAATGTTTGGGTTAAATGAAATAATTTTCTATTACAAATCGGCATGGGAGGGTGGGGAAAATTAGAACTACATTTTAAAGAGGATGCAGCATTGTAGATTAGGTGAAGTAAGAAGTAAATGACATCTATCTTAACATACCAAATCAAGTAGACATCTTTTTGCCTCCAGTTGTTGAACCTCTGTGAATTCATCCACCGCTTCACTGGATGCACCAGACCGTACGAGTAGGCTGTTGGGACTTTCACCTACCATCCACTCCATTGTCAAAACTCTTTTCCTCGTCAAATTTCTAAGCACTTTTGGAACCAACATAAAAGAATACTGGAAGTGAGCTTCCTGACAAGAACACATTTGACACGGATATAGCAGATTATTTCAATGAGAAACTTCTAATTCAAAATCTTAGCAACCAGCAGTCAGAAAAGAAATAGAAAAAAAAAAAGAGGAAATATACTTAGCTACCAAGAACTCGGAGGCATTTGCAGATTCTATTCTGTAATCCAGCTCACCAAATAATCCTTTGCCAAGCTCGTCAGCATAAAGGTAAAGATCATTCTTTCTTTTCGCTACTTTCTTCAAAAAATTAAGCTGCAATGATTGAATCAAGTTTGTTCGATGTTAGAAAGCAATAATGCAGTGTCTTCCCACACACTTCAACCAGAAGATCAGTTTTCCAGATATCCCAGCCTCCTTAGTCCATTGGTATAGTTGCATTGCATAAACTATCGGATGCATGTACATCCAAATAAGACATCTCGGTTCAAGAAAACTTCTTCTAATTAAGATATATATAGATATATGTATGTATGTATGGATGGATGGATGGTAATTTGTAAGATTGCTATACTCCAGATGAAAGTTTTACCAATTAAGCATACATAAATGAAGTGAAACTATTTATGAAAGCCTAGCAACTGTCCAAAACTTAAGTATTCTTATATTTATTTTTAACATTAACTAAAAACACATCTCAAATTCAACTGAAACAATCCTTGTTATTATATCGACCACAAAATGTTGAATATCATCTTTCTCATCTCTACGTTGCTTAACTGATGAACTTAAGCATGTTTCATGTTGATATAATATTTCACATCTCCATTTCTCACTGTGTTTGAGTGCCACGTTCCCAACATTTTATGTCCTACTTTTCAAGAGTAAATCTCCATTCCATGAAATGAAAACATCTTTATCTGATGTTAGTTGCAGTGCTTTATAGGTTTTTTATAGAATATGGTATAATCAATTAGTACCATTTTATTAGGGCATAGAATAGAAAGACCGAATGTATCACCAAACAGAAAATAAGCTCATGGCATAAAACAAAAACAATAGAAGCGGTGTAGTCAGGGTAACCAAAACAAAGTGAAGGGTTCAATAAGACCAATTGTTCATATGAGCATGCCCTGAGGATTTCCCATGTCCTCTTAACACCCTTACAGCTGCCATTATAACTGCCAATTTAAGCCAGATATGACAAAGCAAGTAAACCAAGCCCTTAACTCTGTCATTTGCTTTATCAAGAGATTCATAAAAGAACCTCATCTTAAAAGAGGAGCAAGAGTTGAAATTCAGACTTCAAACGAGACCAAATGGAGATCTACCAAGCGTAGCTAGTTTCTTTGCTTGAACTAATCGAGATTTCCTTATCTGTGCATTACTCTGTCAACATGTAAGTATACTACTAAAACAATTAGAGGTAAAAAAAAACAGATAGAAGCAAGATAAAGGAAAATGTGAATAAAATGTTTGAACTATTTCTTCTTCATTTTACTCATTTGGATTCTGCAAGCAGAACTCCAATACTCATTTAGGGTTACCATTCTCTTCTAGCCATAACCGTATTTATAAGTTATAACCACACTAGCATGCTGGTTCTGCTTTGCTAATACATTGATCTCTATAAACTCCATATACTAGAAGACTAATAGAAGAATATATTACTGCCAACAAGTTCCTAAAATTCACATCAGGATGACATACACTTCAATGATAATCCACTAACAAACGCCTGTACAAAACACTTTGCATGCTTAATTCTTCCAAGGAATATAAAGGTTGTTTTAGATGGATGCCTTATTTAGCTATCTTGAAATAATCACTCAAAATAAAGTTTCATATTATATTCATCATTCGTTCACTAACCTTAAGCCCTTTTCTTGTATGCATATAAAGGATGTAGGAAGGGAAAGAAGGCCTCCTACATCAATATGTTAGACCGGTCAAGGATGGCTTGTACCGGTCCAGCCGGCCCAGCACTAGGGCCAGACCCTGGTATATTTCAAGCAGACCAAGCACGTTGTCGGCCCCCTTGTGGGGCCCATGATTTACAACAACACCAATAACATCAAGTTTTTGTCCCACTACGTGGGGTCATCTACATAAATCTTCTTTCGTCATTGTGTCATGTTAAAAGTCAAATTCTCAGTCAAATCTAATAAAGAAAGATCATTTCTAATATTTTCCAACCAAGTCTTTTTAGGTCTACCTCTACCTTTCTTAACATAAGTCAAATCTAATACCTCAACTTTCCTAACAGGGTCATTGGAAGGCCTCTGTTTAATGTGGCCAAACCATCTTAGGCGACTCTCTCTAATCTTATATTCCACTGGAGCTACTCCAACCTTTTCACGTATATGCTCATTTGGTATCCTATCTTTAGGGTAAAGCCACTCATCCACCTAAGCATCCTCATCTCTACAACACTTAACTTAGTATTATGCTTCTCTTTTAATGGCCAACATTCGGCACCATAAAGCATTGCAAGTGTGGGCTCCGAAAATTCGGCCTCGGCCTCTGCCCGCATTTGCTGATTTTCTTTTGGCGAGGGAGTTTTAACGAACTAAGTTCCGGGGTAAATTTTGGGAAGGCATATGGGTTTGTAGATAAAACACTACCCAGAGATTTCGCCTTCATTTTATGAGGACTTTATGATCTGAGTTCTGGTTTCCTATAGGCGCAAGCCCCTATAGTTAATTACCCCTCTCGATAACGAGAGAGAACTTTCGATTAAGGCTAGTCGTCAATCAGATACGTAGAGATATACGTTCTGGCATATAGTAGCAACAATGGGCTTAGGACTTGGAGATTTGGAAAGTTGGAAAAGTTGATATTTAAAATAGAAATTTCACCATCTTGCAGTTAAACCGGATGGTGGGGTAATGGATGATAGACCCAATCAAGATCTCATGGTTTCGTCGTCCCGGGCCATCGCGGTCCCCGGTCTACTTAGTTAGAGGAGGTAGTCGACCCAACCTGACAGAAAGATCCTTGTCGGCAGCCATGGGTTGCTTCGTCCAATAGTACCTTGTAGACCTGGGATGAATGTTTGTCTAAGGGAAAAAATTTTGAATCCACCTTAACAAACAGCGGGCTTTGTGCCCTATCAATCATATCCTATTGATTCATATTTCAAGGATTTGATACCATTAAGGAACGTATTGGCTCTGGCAATAACCGGTATTTCATGGTACCATTTGGCGGCAAAACCACTCGGTTCAGAGGGCCCCTGGTCATAATCGTTTATCTTGCAGTGCCTTTTGGCGGAAAAACCGCCGGTTATAGGATACGTACCACGTCCTTACTGGCAGGAGATTGGTTGAGAATGGATCCTAGTGATATTTTCGACTAGGTATTTAGCTTTGTGTGAGCTGAAGTTATATTCGAATTTGTCCACCCCACCAAACTCTTGTGGAGGGTGGATGAAGTTTGCTGTAAGTGTTGATGAATTTATTTCAATTTTAAATATTTTGGACTTTGAGATTTTTGGAACTTATGTGAAGTTTATGATTCCTGATGAGCATTTTTTTCTTGTAGGCTTTGTGCTTTTATTGGTGAATTCTCTTGATTATAGGCCTTGAAGACCAAATATGAATGTATTAAAATAAATATACCGGTCGCCACAACCATATATTTATTTGATGGTTCGAACCCTATCGACTCCTATTGATCCGCATAGAAGGATCAGGTTCGAACTTGAATTCACTTATTAAACCGCGCAGCATCCCTAGACGTCATGTGTGTACAAATAACACACTCGCCGGGGCCCATGCGAGTGTTTGGGGGCATTTCATAATTAAACCCTATCGACTCCTTTTTACTTAGGAGAATCGGGTTTCGTAGGCTTTCTGCATTTGTTAGTAAATTCTCATTATTATAGGCCTTGAAGACCTAATATGAATGTATTAAATAAATATTCCGACCGACCTCGCGATCATATATTTATTTAATTGTTCGAGCCATGTCGACTCCCGTCTACCCGTATGGAAGGATCGGGCTCGAACTTGGACTCACCATTTGACCAGCTTAGCATCCCTAAACATCACGTGTGTACCAACTACCAATAACATGCTCGTTGGGGCCCATGCGGATCTTGTGATTGTATTTACCCCTTGTGTACCAATGTATATACAAACTACGGTGCATGTACAGGGGTATTTTTGAAATATTTTAGTTGTGCATGTAATTGTCATTTAAATGCACACAACATTTCATTTGAGAGCTTATATACGCCTTCTGTCCGCTAATACGAGTGTTGCGGATCCGGTGGCATGTTGTAACAGCTTCTGAATAGAATTGTTCGTTGTTTTATACATGTAGACTGTCGTGCACTACTTATTGCTTTCTGCAGGTGTATCATAGTGCACTAACGAATCTCCAGCTTTTACTTACTGGTGGATCGTGGCATTGTCAACTAATTGCCCACAAGATACCTCTTTGTTTTGGTGTGGACTCCCTTTTCTCAATCATCGGGAGGTCCTTCTTGAAATCCTTGGCCACTGCCTTGAAAGGAACTCCTTTCAAGCTATTTAGTATAGTAGACTTGTTATTTCCGGTGTTTGTAGATACCAGAGCTGTTTTTTTCCTAAGTATAACACCAAAACGAAATTTTGGAACACCAGGAAGTTTAGTTTAAATTTGTTCAAACGTCTCTTCCATTCTGCAGGGAGATCCTCTTCCATGCATTGAGTTGTCTTCATACCCGACGACTTTGCAGCATTTTAATCACCGCTGTTGTATGTGATATCTATACTTGTGTTCACAGTGGTTTGTTGTGCCTACGATATACCCACTTTTATTATCCACAAGCGGCTCGTGTGTATTTACGGGGGTCCGCTGTATTCACTACGACTTCCTGGAGGTGTTCTTAGATGAGCCATTGTTCTTGCATCATATCCACCTTTCACCAATCTCAGTTGGTTTGACGATTACATTCATTGTAGTTGTTTCACATTTGCTTGCAGATGATGTATTGTGTACTTGTTATTTCCAGAATAACTCATAAGAGCTTGCATTTGTTGTAGTACTTAGGCATTTGTCTTGTGGATAATGGTTTCGGGTGGATCACAAACTTTCTACAATCACCCATAAACACTTGTATTCATTTTCATATCATCTGCTTCCGCTTGTGGTAGATGTGCGTATTTATTGGCCATTGATAGAGCACTGATTGCAAGGATGTTGTAACATCCATTGCCTGCTGCTGATTAGCACTCATAAGTTCGTTGTGACTGTGGAGAATCTCCCTTCACCGCCAACCAGTATTCGTATCTATAATAGATCTTCTTAGACTTGCTTGTATTCCTCTTTCATGCATATCAACCAACGAGTTTTCATATACATCGTATATCTTTACTTGTAGGAGAGCAGGGTATTCAATTACAACCAAATGATATCGATTATACAAAGACTGCATTTGCTTCGGACTCTTCGAATACACCTTCATTGTTAGCTTGTTGTATGTTAATTTCTTTTGTCACTCGTAAATGAGCTGCATTGAACATGATAAATCCTTTGTAGCTTTAATTGTCGCTTATAAGTGTATTACCACATTTTCCAACATTTATGTTGCTCATTACTTAATGAGTAGAATATATAAAGAATTTGCTCATCATCACTTGCAAAGCTTTGGCACATTAATGAGTGGCGAAGTGGCATTGAACTAATGCGTCATTCCACTTGTTCATTTGGGCTTGGTTCAAATCAAGTTCAAGTCCAAATTTGTAAGTCCTTTGATGTTCAAAAGTTCACAAGCTCTAATTCAAGTTCGTGTTTGAGTTCAAGTAGCAAGTTCAAACTCTTCATATTTGTTTCTTTTGAATTCAAGTCCAAGTTCATGTGCACAAGTTTAAGTGCTCAAGTTCACACTTCACAGATCCTTGTATTCAGTTCGGTTCAAGTTCAAAGTACATGTTCACTTAATATCTAAATCCGGCTTAAATTCAAACTTATTATATTTTTTTTTAGGTTCAAGTCTTGCTTAATCATTTGAGTTATGTTCAAATACAAGTCCACAAGTTCACTGTTCATTCTCATTTGAGTCCAAGTTTTTGTTCTTTTGAGTTCAAATCAGGTCCGAGTACAATCATATTTTAACCCGAAATTTCGACAACCTCCCAGCGTCTCCCGCATTTAGGGAAAAACTACGGAAAATTAGGCCTCCCGCCACGCAAGAAAAAAGCGGGTACGGTAGGTGTCCTCATACGAGGACACTCGGCCGTAAAATATGTCCCCACCAAACTAAGAAAAGCATGTATGGGTCTTCGGTGCCTATTACAAGAAAAGCAGTTGTTTCCATACAGGTACAGAGCCGCGTATGGGTACTTAAGAGTTGTCCTAGCCACGCTAAGAAAAGCGTGCACCAGGCTTACCAGCCTCGTCGTATGTCGCACCGGGTTCCCTCCTACCACGCTAAGAAAACGTGTTATAGGTGGTTACCGGCTCGGTCACACACACCGAGGACAAGACTTTTAGAGTCAAGGCCTGTTTCACAGCTACTCGTCGTAGATAGTTTTACATGAGAGTTCCTTCCCACCAACGCTAGGAAAAGGTGTATGGGCGAGTTTGCTAGGTCCAACACGCACATCTCAAGGTAAAAGCGGAAAATTTGGCAACTTTTTTTTATAATTATAATTATTAATTGTATTAATTAACATAATTAATATATTTATAATTGATATAATATATTAAAATTTATCAACTAATTAAATAAATAAGTTAAATTTAACTTGAATTAACTTAGACATCTATTTATATTATTTAATTGATTGTTAATTAATTTATAAATATTAATTAAAAATAATTAAAATAATATAAATTATAAATAATTATTTTAATTTTCATTAAGCTTCAATTTATAATTAAATGGATTTATTTATAAATTACTTAATTAAAACTAATAATTATAATTAATTATAATTAATCAAAATATTTATAATTAATCAAAAAAAGGAAAACACCACTCGGTTCAGCAGATTTGTGGGATTAGGTCGAAGGAGCGCGCGCCGAGGAGAAAAACCATCTTCACGGTAAGTGAGCTCCTTCGTTTACTTCCGATGAAAATGTGTAACTTCCGATCCTTAGGAAGGGAAAGTCGTCAAAGAGCGAAGTCAGGCAGCGTCGGAGGAACAAGGAAGCACACGGAAAGGAGAAGGTTATCTCCTCAACAAGCGAGCGCCTGTTGTTGCTCCCAATCAAATGCCCTAACTTCCCGATCCGACGAGAAGGGAGTCGTCGAAGAGCGAAGTCGAACATCAACGTTGAGGCTGGAGTAGCGACGCGAAAGGGAGAATGTTGCCTTCATAGTGAGCGGCTTCCGTTCTCACTACGATCAAAAAGTCGTGACTTCGAACCCGACAGGAAAGGGAGCATTGTCGGGGGGGGAAGAGGAACGTTGGCTATGGAGGTAGGGATCTCTCTCTCTCTCTCTCTCTCTCTCTCTCTCTCTCTCTTGACGATCTTGCGAACAGGGCAGCTGCGGAGAGAGGTCGGAGATGCTTGCGAAAATTTGGTCGCGAGAGAGGGAGGAACTAGGGAAGAGGTGCGAATGGAAGAACAGCCCGCACACTTCACTTATTTCGCTATTTAACGACGAGCGACGATGTGCGAAGGTATGACAGGATGCGAAGTTGGATGTGCGTGGAGTGGCGACGACGTGCGTGGGTCGTGGGCGTAGGGCTCGAGCGGCATGGCCGAGAGGTACGTGGATTTTGATTTATTTTATTTTTTTTACGTTACAGGTCAACAACAGGTCTCACCACCATCTTATAGAATTTTCGCTTAAGTTTGAAGGGGACTTTTCTATCGCACAACAAGCCTGAAGCATTCCTCCACTTCAATCATCCAACTTGAATTCTGCTGATAATATCCCCATCTATTTCACCATCACTCTGAACAATAGATCCAAGATATCTAAAACGTATACTCTTATTAATGACTTGATCTCCCAAAGTCACAATCCCCTCACTAGGTTTATTGCAACTAAAATTACACTCCATATATTCAGTTTTAGATCTACTCAAGCGAAAACCTTTAAACTCTAAGGTTGACCTCCATAATTCAAGTTTACCTTCAACTCTCTTTCTAGTCTTATCACCAAGAAGAATATCATCAGCAAAAAACATACACCAAGGTATATCATCTTACAAATGTCTAGTGAGAACATCCATGACCAGAGCAAAAAGATATGGACTTAAGGCTGGTCCTTGATGTAATCCAACCGAAATAGGAAAATACTTGGTCAACATACCTTGTGTTTGAACACAAGTAATAGCTCCTGCATACATATCTTTAATCAAGGTTTTAAAAGGAGAAATCGGGAATTGACGCGTTTTGGCTAAGCGAGGCGAGGCATAAGCCTCGAAGTGGATCAAGGCGTAAGTCTCAAAAAAGATAAAAATAAAATAATTTAAAATTATGAATAATGACAAAAAATAATAAAATATTATGTCAATTGTGAATTTGATGATTTGTTCTAAGATATATTAGTATATTACTAGAAAAGAATATTTAAAATAAACTCACTTAAAAATAAAACATCCTTTTAGGATCAAGACCCAATGCTGGCTCATCATCACTTTGATTGTCTTCAAAAGAATCTTCATAATTAATGTCAAAGTCATCCTCAAACTCTTCTTCATTTATAATATTTTCTTCCTTTATCCCCTATATCAGTTAATATTTCATTAGCTCTAGCATGAAATAATAATAATATAAAAAATAATTCATTATATTTAAAAATACCTTTGAATTTTTTTGAAGCTCCAATCTCATTTTGTTTCTTTCTTTTATATACATGAGTAGTTGCTTCATTGTCTTCATTGACATGAGTTTCTCCTTCTGCTTCAACTTCAGAAACATAAACATTCTTAGGAATAACACATTCATCATCAGATTGTAAATCATCAACAAGTAAATGATCAATTTCATTATCAATGCTTCCTTTACTTCTGTAGTTTGAGATGTCTATCTTTCAATTTTTTGTTAAACATAACATAAATTAGTTTGTTCATTCGATCTATAGGCAATCGATTTCTTCTCTTAGTATGAATTTGATTGAAGATGCTCCAATTACGCTAGCATGCAGAAGCCGAACATATTAGGCTAAGAACTTTAACTGCAAAAGCTTTCAATTCAGAAACATCATCTCCAAATTGACTCCACCAACGTTCTATATGAAAATGAATAATATTTTATGAATATTAATTGAAGTAGAAGACTTGAACATAAATATTAAAATTAAAATTATAAATTATAAACATACCATGAGATCATGTTTTGTAGCATGTTTGTGCTGCTCAAAATCCAAACATTCTCTTCTTCAAATGAAATTCCTCAAGTTGATCATTCACTTTGAGGTAGTCTTCTTCAGAAATGAGTCTGTCCATACATGCATACAAACCAGTTTTCACCTATTTATCAACATGAAAGTCTTTATCATAATGAAATTGAGGGTTTAAATAGTATGCAGCAGCATGTAAGTATTGGTGTAATTGATGATCCCACTTTTCATCTATAATATCTCATATTTCTTTTTAGGCACTTTCTTGACCTCCCAAATCTTTTGCAATATTTCTTTAGCCCTATTCATTGCTTCATAAATAAATCCCATAGCCGAGGACCTCTCACCATCAATCATTCTATGCACCTTAACTAATGGTGTTGTTGTCTTCAAAACATAATTTGTACTGCGCCAAAATGAATCATAACAATTTTTTTTTACCAGTTTTTCTTCTTATTTTTTTGCCCATAAACTTTTATCTCATTCTTCAGGAGCAAACATAGCTTCCAAAGGTTGCCTTAACTCCTTGAATTTCTGCAATGTTAAATATGCAGTAGCAAAACTCATAACAGTGGGTCTAATAATTTCTTTGTCAGTGAACTTTCTCATCAAATTGAGTATCCAAGAATGATTGTATATGAACTTACTAACGAATTTGGCCTTCAATAGAGTTGATTTATGCCAAGGCAATTGTCCCAACCTCTCAAGCATTAAATCAATGCAATGTGCAGCACAAGGAGTCCAGTAAAGATGAGGTCTCTTCTCCATTAATATTCTCACTGCAGCTTTATATACACTTGCATTATCAGTAACAACTTGTACTACTAAAGCATCACCCATATCCTCGACAACTTCATCCAACATTTCAAATAATAATTGTGCATCCTTTACAAAACTTGAAGCATCAACTAATTTTAGAAAAATAGTTCCATATATATTGTTGACCAGGAAATTAATAATACTTCTATGTCGAATATCTAACCAATCATCTGACATTATTATGACTTGTCTCAATCCAAGTCTTCTTAACATCATCCACCATTTTTTAAGTTGTCTTGACCTCCTCATTCAGCATCCAAGTCCTCAGTTCATACATGCTTAGAAGTTGTAGTCCTCTTTCATAGCTTCCAACAGATCGTAACATATTGATCCATGACGAACTCCTAACAACATTAAATGAAATCCCATTTTCATAGATCAATCTAGCGATATCCAAACAAACTCTGTTCCTGAGTTCTTTTGTAGCAGTAGGAGGCTGAAGATCCTGAGTGTTTATGTTATCCTAATCATCAATATTTATCATAAATCTATCCATGGGAACCCGAGTGCCTTGGTTAGAAGAAACTAAATGGCTTCCACTGCTGGAACCTTCATGCTGTGATCCATAGTAAGAAAAGTTTCCTATCATCTCTTCCATATTTCTTTGTGTGACCTCCTTTGTGGTGTCAAACTTCTTTAAATAATCTGTACATTCCTTTTTCACCTCATCAGGTACTTTGGCACATTGTCCCACATTGACATAAGTGCGGGCTAGATGATCTTTCAACCCCTTGACGCCACCAGTTATGCGTTTCTCACAGAAATTATATTTCATATAAACATATCCCTTTTTTGCACCTCGTCTGACACTTCAACTTGAGTTACATATTTCCATGCAGGATCTTTCCTTCTTGTGCCACTAGTCCTAATAATTTATAGAAATAAATAATCAACATTCAACTTGAGTTACATATTTCCATGCAGGATCTTTCCTTCTTGTGCCACTAGTCCTTCTAATAATTTATAGAAATAAATAATCAACATCAAATTATTGATATATACAGGATTTTTATTTATTCACAGACAAAGGAATCACAACACAAAAACAACAATAGGATAAATTTTAACAATTATTTGTACTACCAATAATAAGACAACATGAATAAAACAATATACCGGTATGTCGGGGGTCCAAGGGGGCGCTACCCCCTGGCGGGGTTCGACCGAACATGTACCTAACGGGGGCAGCACCCCTGAACAAAAATTTATTGTAAGAGTAATTTTGAAATCCTGTTTATTTTTAAAGTTCGTAAGTTGTTTCTATGGAAAGGTACTGAGCATGTACCGCTCGGTACCGAGCGGTTCTGGCTCGGTACCGAGCAAGTACCTAGCGGTACCGAGCATGTACTGAGCGGTACCAAGCATGTACCTGCTAGGTACCGAACATGTACCTAGCGATACCTAGCAGTACAGAGCATGTACTGAGCAGACGAATGAAAGAAAGCCGAATCAGGAGTTATTCAAGCTTTTGTTACTGCACGTCAAAGTCAAGACCCACAACACTGCTCACCTGCTTTTCCGACCTAATCGAGGCCTGAACGTTTCCTGCAGTCACAACTTCGGCTTCGTTTCCTGCTTTCGAAATCGATATTGCTTTTAGCTTTGTTACATGCGTCGTCTCCTTCCGACTTCGTCTCCTTCCCTCACGGCTTCGCCTCCATTTCGCCTTTCAATTCTCACACGAAGCCCTAATCCTATATGCGAATACGCGAACACAAACCGACTGTGTCGTATTTACATATATACCAAAGAAAAAATTTCGAGGCGGTGCCTTGTACTACCTCAAGGCATTACACTCTGATGCGTACGCCTCGTGTGAAAAAATTGTAGGCTTCGCTGGATGGTATGAGGCGTAAGCCCCGATACGCATGACTTCCGCCTCGATTTGAGGCGCGACTCAATGCGGATGCCTCGTCCGCTTTTTTAATGGTTGTCTTTAATGATTTGAATATAAGCGTTATTAACTCCTTTCTTTTCAAGAACTCTCCATAGCACTTCTCTTGGAACTTTATCATACGCTTTCTCTAAATCAATAAATATCATATGTAGATCATCCTTATTCTCTCTATATTTCTCCATCATACCTCTCAATAAATGTATGGCTTCCATAGTAGACTTACCCGGCATGAATCCAAATTGATTTTGCGAAACAATAGTATCATGCCGCAACCTACGCTCTATAACCTGCCCCCATAGTTTTAAAGTATGACACATTAACTTAATTCATCTATAATTGGCACACTCTTGTACATCATTTTTATTCTTAAAAATAGGAATTAACACGCTCATTCTCCACTGATCTGCCATCTTTTTAGTCTTCAAAACAGTATTAAAAAGTTTAGTAAGACAAGAAATTCATTCATATCCTAAGCATTTTCACATTTCTATTGGAATATCATCAGGTCCAACAGCTTTTCCACACTTCATTTTCTTTAAAGCCACTCTAACTTTGGTTTTACTAATACGCCGATAAAAGGAGGGGACGGTTTATGAGAGAATCAATTTTGGGAGGGGTTGTGTAGTAATTATCCTTATATTTGTATTCTCTAAATAGGGGGGAAAGGGCTAGGGTTATGTTTTGTGTTAGTTGAAATTTGTTTTCTCTTAGGTTGCTTAGACTCGAGCCGCCAGCTAGAGATTGGAGAGCCGAATCTTCCTCTAGAATTGAAGATCCATTGTATCTTGTTTGTTTTCTTCCATCGTTCAACAATTATCAAGTTTTCCTAGTATTTTGCCACCAAATTTCTCTCAATTTCTGCTTTTATATTGCTGAAATTCCAAATTTCAGCCAAGATCTTTTGATTCTAGCAAGTACATTCTATCAAATTGGTATCACAATGCTTTCTTGTGCGGAAAAACAAGTTATCTTCATTTTTTTTGTGATTGGAGTCTATATCCAATTAATGGCAAGCAAAGAAGATGGAGGCATTGGAGTGCGAGATGGAACAACTCAAAACCGAAGTAGAGGAAAAATATTCCAAGGTGAAGGAAAGGAAGACTCTTAGACATTGAGAACCGCTTTAGGAACTTTGAAGAAATTATGAAAAAGATGTTTGAGATGCAACCAAAAACATCACTGGCAATTCAGGTGGAACCAAGAGAAAAGGAGATCCAGGAGGACGACGATAAATTGGAGAGTGTTTTCCATCAAGGACTGCCACGTGGGGCCCAGTAGATGGGCGGATCGGGGTATTCTGAAGAGAGGAGAGCAAGGAAGAGGGAAGCCGACCCCTTTGGGAGACTACGTAGGCATGGGGAGAGGTGGAAAGGAGAAAGGCATGGTTGGGGAGAGCCATGGGGTCAAACTCAACCAAGGGAGGAATGAAGGGAATCATACAACTACTACACCAAAGGGACCAACGGGAGAAAAAACCATTGGGGTATGGATGCTAGAGTAAGCAAGCGAAGGATATAGATCTTTGAAGGGAATGATGCTTAGGGTTGGGTGTACCGGGTGGAACAATACTTTTCTATCAATGGGCTAACTGAAGGGGAAAAACTCATGGTAGTGGGTTTATATTTAGAAGGGAAAGCCCTGGCCTATTTCCAATAAAGGGAGGCTAGGCATCAATCTACTCATGAGGAGAATTTAAAGAGTGCTTGTTGGAATGTTTTCAAGTCATTCAGAAAGGAGATCTCATGAGTAGTTCTATGCCCTAGCTCAAGAGGAGACGGTTATGGAATACCGGGAGAAGTTTGAGCTGCTGTTGGGGAGACTAAGGGGAATCTTGGAGGAAGGATTGGAGAGAAATTTTTATGAAGGTGCTTAGAGAGGACATGCAAGCAGAATTCATGATACTTAGGCCTACGGGTTAAGGGAGACGATGGAGCTTGCTCGGAGGGTGGAGGAAAAATAAGAGGGAGAAGGCCAGCAAAAGCAACATCGTGGGAGGGGCCTACCGGAGTACCCCTACAACTCTAGCATCAAGAACCCAAACAGTATACTTTCAAAGAGATGCTCCTAGGGAGAAGAGTGGGGGAGTTCGCCCGCGGGGGGTGGGGGTGTGGCAACTTCAAGCATCACACAGAAGCGGAGGTGCAAGATAAAAGGGAAAAGGGGTTATGTTTCAGATGAGATGAGAAGTACATGTCGGGGAATATATGCAAAGACCAAACTCTTCAGGTTCTCACCGTCTGTGATGATGAAGAAGCTGGGGAGAGAGGTGGGAGTAAGGTATTGGAGGAGGAAAAGCTGCATTTAGATATGGCCGAGGTTTTTTTGAACTTAATGGTGGGATTCACACTAAATCACACAACGAATGTGAGAGGAGAAATAGCAGACAAGAAGAAAGTGGGCCTGATAGATAGTGAGGCTACCCACAATTTTCATTTCTAACCAGGTCGTGAACTGATTGGGAATGAAACTGGTAGATACAGGGTGTTATGGGGTGATTGATGGGGATAGGGAAGATGGAGATAGGTACAGGGGTGTGTAGGGAACTGGTCCTAACCATACAGGGAATCCATGTGAGGGAGAATTTTCTCCTATTGCAGCTGTGGAGCACTGATGTCATCCTAGGGATGAGATGGCTGCAAACCTTGGGGGATACCAAGGTGAATTATGGGATGCTGACAATGGAGTTGATGGTGCAAAGGAGAAGGATATTGATTAAGGGATATACAGAACTCTCCAAAGCCATGGTGTCTCTAAAAACTATGGTAAGGGTCATACAGGAGGTGGGAAGAGGATTTTTGGTGGAGCTACAGAGTTTGAAGGGGATCAGAAGAAAAGGAAGGGGGGGAGGACATCTATCATTCAGTACAGTCGGTTATATAGGAGTTCAGTGAGGTTTTATAGCCACCTCAGGGGTTACCACCATAGAAGGGATAAGAGCACACCACCACACTGAAGGAGGGAATGTCACCGATCAGTGTCTAGCCTTATTGCTACCCCCAGATCCAGAAGAATGAGATTGAGAAACTAATCCAAGAGATGTTAGAGGCAGAGATCATCAGGTCGAGCGTGAGTCCTTTTTTTAGCCTAGTTCTGCTGGTCAAGAAGAATGATGGAAGTTGGAGATTTTGTGTGGACCACCGGGCCTTGAATAAGGAGATTGTGCCAGACAAGTTTCCTATTCCAGTAATAGATGAGTTGATATGAGCTTTGTGGAGCGACAATGTTCAAGAAGGTGGACCTGAAGTCCGAGTACCATTAGATCGGGATGAGAGAGGAGAATGTTTCAAAAACAGCTTGCAGGATACAGAAGGGATGCTATGAGCTCTTAGTGATGTCGATTGGACTCACCAACGCCCCTGTTACCTTCTAATCCCTCATGAGCACGGTGTTCCGACCTTACCTCAGGAAGATTATTATGTTTTCTTTGATGACATCCTGGTGTACAACAAATCCAGTAGGAGCATCTAAGGATGATCTTAGAAGTGTTGCAGGAGCATCAGCTAAGGGCCAATCTTAAGAATATTATTTTGCACAGGTATTGTGGGGTACTTTAGGCACATTGTATCCCAGGAAGGGGTATCAGATGATCAGGCCAAGATTGAGACAATGTTGAAATGGCCTCTACCTAGGAACCTGAGAGACATGACGGGATTTTTAGAATTTAAAGGGTACTACAGAAGATTCGTGAGAGGATACAGCACCATAGCTTGGCCTTTGACAGAGCAGCTGAAGAAGGATAATTTATTGTGGGAAGAGGCGACCACTCAAGCCTTTAAGAGATTGAAGACAGTTGTTGACAGCCAGAGCTAGACTGAAATCAGGTGTTGTATCAGTATATGGATTATGGGTACTGCTCATGCAAAATCACAGACCGATAGCCTACTTCAGTCAAGTGTTGACAGCCAAAGCTAAATCGAAGTCAATTTATGAGAGGGAATTGATGGCCATCCTATTAGTTATTAAGAAGTGGCGGCCTTGCATGTTGGGCCGACATTTCATTATCAGGACATATCAGCGAAGCTTGAAGTATATGCTGGAGCAGAGGATGATAACTGATGAAAATCAGAGATGTTTTCAAAGCTGTTGAGCTGACTTTGAGATCCAGTATAGGCCAGAGTTGGAGAACAGAGCGGCTGACACCTTATCCAGGTGCATGGGGGAGCACCAAGAGTTAGCCATTTCAGTACTGATGATGCTAGATTGGGTGGCTATTAAGGAGAGTATGCAAGATGAGAAACTGAGGGAGATTAGGGCGAATCTACTGAAGGATGAGAATAGCCACTCTGGCTATTCTCTAGAAGGGGAGAGACTGCTGTATTAAGGGAGGTTTGTGCTGCCATGGACCTTGGCTCATATTCCCCACCTACTACAAGAGTTCTATGGGAGCACTTTTGGGGGCCATTCTGGTGTGCAGAAGATTACAAGAGACTTCAGCAAAATTGTATTGGAAGGGGATGCATAGGGATGTGGAGGAGATGGTGTCTAGGTATGAGGTATGTCAAAAAAAACAAGTACAAAGCTATGGCTCCATAAGGATTACTTCAACCCCTGGCTCTTTCAGACAGAGTAGGGGAAGAGGTCACCATGGATTTCATAGATGGGAAATCCCAATCTGAGGGATTTACAGTGATTATAATGGTGGTTGACAGGTTGAGCAAATATACTCATTTCATTCCCTTACGACACCTTTACAAAGTTGTGACAGTGGCAGAGCATTCATCAAGGAGGTGGTCAGATTACATGGGGTCTCTGAGTCAAAAGTTTCTAACCGGGATAAGGTGTTCCTCAGCAATTTATGGAGAGAAATGTTCAAACTGCAGAGTACAGTTCTAAAGAGGAGCGCCACTTACCACTCTCAAATAGACGGACAGTGGAGTTAGTGAATAGGAGTCTAGAGACTTATCTACGGTGTTTTGCTTCAAATACACATCAGTTGTGGGTCAACTGGCTAGCATGGGCAGAGTACTGGTACAACACTTCATATCATTCGGCCTCTCAGATGACTTCTTTCAAAGTGTTGAATGGAAGAGACCCTTCACACTTGGTGCATTTTGGGTAGAGGAGCACACCAGTCTCTTCAGTAGAACAGTACTTATACGAAAGAGATAGGGTGTTGGAGGAATTAAAGAGGCACCTGTTGAGGGCACATCAAATTATGATGAAGCAGGAGAATGGACACCGAAAGGACATCCAGTTCAAAGTAGGGGATAGAGTGTTCTAAAAGCTGCGACCCTATAGACAAAGGACGGTCGCCAAGAGAAGGAATGAGAAGTTGACCCCAAGGTACTTTGACCCATATGGGGTATTGGAGAGGATTGGAGCAGCGGCGTACGGCTTGCGATTACCACCGACCGATATTATACATCCAGTGTTCCATGTCACAATTGAAGAGAGCCATTAGGGGTCATGCAGCTAGCTCAGAGTTACATGTGACACTAATAAAGGATTTAGAGGTGTTATTAGAACCGCTGAAGTTGAGAGGGGTCAGAAAGGGACATGAAGGAATCAAGGACGTTTTCATAAAATGGAAGAACTTACCAGACCATGACACCACCTAGGAGCCATATGAAAGGGTGAAGCATCAGTTTCCATCCTTTCATCATGAGTACAAGTGATTCTTTGAGAGGGGGTTATTGTGACCGGTCCAACCGGCCCAGAACCAGGGCCGGACCTTGGTATATTCCAGGCGGACCAAGCAAGCCGCCGGCCCCCCTTATGGGGCCCATGATTTGAATGCAAATTTAAAACGGAGGGAGCAATTTATGAGGGGATTAATTTTGGGAGGGTCTGTTTAGTAATTATCCTTATATTTGCATTCTTTAAATTGGGGGAAAATGTTAGAGTTATGTTTTTGTCGGCTGAACTTGACTTGGGGTCTCCCCTGTTGCCTTTACTCCACCTCAGGTTGCTCAATTGGTAAGACATCCAAAGGCACATCGAAGACTTCCATCATCCCTGTCAGCAAGCCTTCAACGTGAGTCTCTAACTCACCCCCATGAATTGGATTGCCATCGCCATCCCTTGGGATATCTTACATAACTTCCAACTACTTGCCTTTTGAGTTGTCTCCCTCTTGTCCTTTTGCTCCCACAGCACCGACGTAGCCTCCACCTACATGACACGATCACCACTTGTCACCTCTTGACACTTTGCAAGGAGAATTGGGGCCAACAGAGGATGATGCCTTGCCCAATGAAGTCCTCCACAAGCAAAGCAGAAATTTTGAATCCTTCTCAACTCCATGCCAACCCTTAGCTTGCTCCTCCCACTATCTATTGCCCCAGTGATATTCTGGCAAGCCTCCTCCTTGCCTTGACCCATTCGTCTCTCTCATAGCTCTAGCCCCCACACATTGAGTTGTTCTCCAAAGCAATAATGGCTAGTGGTGGATGTCTCTGCCAAGGCATGCCTACGTGAAGCTACGGCCTCATGTAGGTCCCCAACTTGAGATAGCATCCCATTGAGCTCCTTCTTGAGCTCTCCATGCACCTCTTCCTTGTACATCAAAGATTCCTCCAGTCGAGACAACATGCCTCTTCTCATAGCCTGGATGGCGGAACCATGTTCCACTAGGTTACTCCCATCTTCACCTATCTCATCCACCTAGGCTCCCATGCCATTCGTAACCTTTGTCCGTCAAGTTAAACGAAAATCGATACTAGAGATCCTCTCTTTGGACTTCCCCCATGGCTTGGATGTTGGATCACGCCGCTCATCCATTTCCTTGTTTCCCCATGATGATCCACACTTTTCATACCAACCATGCCTCCTCTTGGCCTCGACAACTATCTTGGCCCGTGCCTTGCCCTAGGATTGAACAGGCTCTAATACCAATTGTCACAGAGAGACCTTGCCTAAGTCACCCGTGCGGCCTTATCACTCCTTCCCAATGATAAGTCAGCCTAAAACTTACACAATACTTAGCTAGAGAGCAAAGAATGATAGAGAGAGAAAGTAAATGGGGAAAAATTCACTATTACAAGAGTACTTTTACAAGACGGATTGGAGGGGTTTTGAGGATTTTTTTTTACAAATGAAAGGGGAGGGTCCTATTTATAGCCCTCCTCTCATGCTTAAGAACAATCTAAAATTCTCTCCATTTATTCATGAGCGTGGAGTTCTCTAAAATACTTCACATCATTCCCTACACACTTGTATAATTCTATGATAATCTAGATAGTTCTAGAGTATAGTACATTACTCTTTAAATATCTAAATCATCCTAGAACATCTAGAATCTTTTAATAGACTCTTGGCCTATCTAAAGTCCCCAGAACTTTCCAATGTCATGTGACCTCATTTAGGAATGATTCTAGAAGACTTCTTGGTTTCCGCTCGATATGTCACGGCCAAGGAGTTTAGCCAAACTTCTTTGTCCCTGTTTTGGGTGTGAAACTTAGCTTAATTACGAAAAAAGTTAAGGTGTGGTTCATCCTATGAGAAATTAGCATCACTAATGGAGATTTATTTTTTTTATTTATAATCAGCATTGCACCATCAAAATATTTTTTGGAATACATGTAAAATTTAATCTTCTATTGTTATTTGTGAAAAAAAAAATTATTGGATAGTATTCTACTTCTTAATAATAATTTTCTATGCATCTTATGGGGCAAAATTCTAGTATATTCTATTTTTCTTCTGCATTGTTTTAACTTTTTCACTTATTTCAATCAAGTTGCACCAAGTAAAACTATAATATATGCAAATTGCATGAGCCAAGCAAATTAATTTGAATATCCTATGTAAGCATATCAATCATTACACATTAATTTATTGCTAATCAATGCTCCATAATACATATCTTAATAATTTTAACACACTGTTGCCATATACCTTTTTTTATTTAATGCACATCAAATCAAATCTCATGTAGCATGAGCATATGCTTTCTCAAGATCAATCGATGTAACATAAAATCCACTCTACTCTTTATGTTTTTAAAATTAATTTTATATGACAACCTCAACAATACAGCTACCATGCATAAAATGAAATAAATTCTTCATGCCTCATGAGTTTGATTTCCCTTTAATTATGAGGATTTGAATGCTCCCTTATTCTTAAAAGTATGCGCCAAAAAGTGCCTCTTCTCCAATAATCTAGCATCATCCAAGATTATAAGAATCCAATAAATAAAGGATAATTTAACCAAGTTACTCATAAATCTTCCATTCTTCTTCAAATCCTAATAGAGATCACATTTGAACCTAAAGATTTACCTTTATACATCCTAAGAGTAAACTTAACTTTCATTTTTTTGATAAATCTACATGATATTAAACAGCTTTATTAAGGATGATCTTTAATAAAGTTTTTTCCTCAAAATTCTCCTTTATTGATTTCTAAGAATAATTTGCTCATATTTTTTCGATAATTTTATCTTTAGCTAAAATCTTATTATCTTCAGTTTGATATATTTAACATGACTAAGTCTGTAATTTTTCCTATATTTTACCTTTGTTGTGTAGGGCTTGTTTGCATGGATAAAATAGGAGTGTAGGATAACCAAAAGCAACGGGTTTTTCAACTTTAGGTATTTGGCAGGAAGAAAAATGAATACAAAGTAATTTTTGAGGAATTAGAATCCTCCATTTAGTAAATTTTTTGTGCATTCTAAATTTCTCCAAATATAGTGAATTTAGAATAAATCGCATGAAGCCTTTCTCAATGCAGCAAATACCTCTACTGACTTGTTGATCGCTCACAGCTTGCAGTCACCAACCTTTGGTCATGTGCACCCATGTCCTTTGCCTACCCTTATGTCCTTCGATGATCCCCACGCACCATGTACCCTAGGTTTATTTTAAAACTAGTAAATTCTAAATATTTTTAATCAAATACAAAATAAAATGATATCTAAATGTTATTTTACAACCAACCAAAAAAATAAATAACATTCCAAATATGTTGTATTTACTTTTATATTGTGTTTAAATTACACTTGAATTTTAAATACTTGAAACTAAATCACCCCTAAATAAATTTCTTTTTCTCCTTCCTAAGTCCCTAGCCATGAGTTTACTACCGACTACCGTTTAAGCAAGACCTTTCATTTTTAATTATTAGCTTTACTAGCATTTATCTTGTCATTCTTTAAGGGAATATTTTTTTAACTTAATAACCTTTTGTATGCCATCACCACACCATCAAAAATCCTTCCGTATGAAATATTTCTAGATTTCTTAAAGCTCCAATGACAGACTTCTTAATGGAACTAGGTATCTTATCTCAATATGTCATGTCAAATTAATTCACTTGTGGTATTTCAATTTTCCTCTCTTAGAAGCCTATCTTAAAACATTACCACCAATATTTGCTTTAGACCTAAAACATTAAATGTCATATTTGAATCTATACATTCAATCGAAAATAATATTAATAGAAGTCCAAATAACAAGGAAAGATTTTGGATATCTAATTTAAATTCAAGGCACTAATTAATCACATTCATAATGAAAGAACCCAAAGAACGATAAACTAGTTGAGGCTATTATTAAGTAAATTAATGACAAATTGAGGGTCAATAATGAATGGTTAAGTTTTGATCAAGCCATCTATGTCAAATTCATACAAAACAAATATTTATTTAAAAAAAATTATAAAATATAAGTAACATAATTTTAAAAATGACGAATCATGTAATCAAGATATTCACATAAAGCAACTTCTCATCTATGACAATACTTATACAATAAATATTTCATAACATTTCTATCTTATATAAGATATAATTCTTATTTTTATCAAATAATATATGTAGTAATATAGAGGGCTCAAGCAGTTTAAGGTGTGTTTAGACTAGGGCGTGAGAGAGCTAGCGAGCAATTAAGAAATGAGAGATATTGAGAAGGCAAACACGCAGCCACAAAAAAGAGAGGTAGTGGAGCAACACAGGAAGTGCACAAGGGAGAAATTGATGAAGTTGGGAGGAGCAGTGACAATAGATTTAGTTGTGATCAAACCATATAAAGCAACCAAAAAGAAAAGATGTGGGGGTCGGCAAGGTTTTGGTGGCTTGCAGATGAAAAGAGAAGAAAGGCGATGTGGCCTTTGTTCAGAGCACGTCGAGCAAGTTTAAAGGGAAGATATCATAGAAAAACTATCATTCTTTTATTCTTCCTAAACTAACTTATGTGATTTATACCTAAAATGAAATAAGAAGAGGGATTGGTGCTAATCCTAGACTTTTCTTAAGTGATTTCATGTATTATGACTTGTAAGGATTTATTAGGGAATTAGCCTTTAAGTTGTAGCATTATTACAAGGAAATTTGAGAAATTTTAGTCATCTATGCCTTGTATTAAGCATCGTGTTGATTATATAATATGATATTCGAAGAGGTGAAGATAAGTTCGAAAGGTAATATTTGCTTGTAGGGCTGCAAGCGAACCAAACGTTCAGCGAGCTACTCGATGCTCGGTTCGATTAAAGCTCGTTTGTGATCGTTTAACTAACTAAACAAACAAATATGAACAACATTTTAAATGCTTGATCCTTAAATAAACAAGCTTGAACACTAATGTGTTCGGTTCATTTATGTTCACGAACAACATCATTTAAAGTTCGTGAACAAGCTCGACATTAAGTTCAATAAAAAGCTCGAATTGAGAGAAATGCAATAGGTAAGCTTCATTTACTGAACAAAAGACAGTTCACATTTGTCCATGTTTGCTAGATTGTTTGTTTAAGATGTTCATGAACAAATTTAATGTTTGTTTGTTTAATAGATTGTTTGTTAAATATGTTCATAAACATAGCTCGTTAAGACTTATTTGTTTAAAGCTCGATAAGTATTAAACGAACCGAACATGAACCGAACATGAACCAAACATGAACACCCTTGAATTAAACGAACCAAACATGAACACAAAAAATAAAGCTCAAATCAAACATGAACCAAACTTGAACAAGCTATAGATTAAGAATCTATATATTTCTTCATTCTATTATTCTAATTATTCTAGAATCTAATAATAGAATACTATTTCTATATTCTTTATTTCTTTCTTATTTATATTACTCTTAATATGAGTAATAGTATGAGATAAGGACCTATAGAAACCCTCTATTAATTAGAATCATAGAGATCAAAAAATCTATGAAAAATTGAAGAGTTATTGTGAATCAAACATGAACACTCACATACTCGACTTGGCTCGGTTTGTTTGCAGCCCTATTTGCATGCCTAAAATTTTTGGAAATTACACTTCTAATTAAGAGCACTATTTCTTTCATATAGAACATTGAACAAATTATACTTGTTTATTAAAACTTATTTCCATACAATATTACTTTATCTTCATTCTTTATTGAAACTCCTCTTATTCTTATGAATTGTGCATGTGCTGCTTCTTTGTCTAACAATTCTTCCGTATATCATGATCATTCTATAGTTTATGTTATTTTGATGAAAATATCACAATTTAAACTCATTTATGCTATGGATGATTACATATAGTTAAAAATTGTTAAATGAAATGCTTATGATGTGCATACGAACTTATGAATTAACCACAAATCACTATTCCATTGTTTGGTGATTGAAGTTTGTGGAAATGTACATCAGACATGCATGAGGTGTTCACCTCCATCCATTAAGGTTGTCGTTCCCACCTCAGTTTATATAGGCTCTCAAGCTAGTTCATGACACAAGCACTAAATCAAAAAAGAAACATAGCTCACCTTGGCCTATTGGTTGGGAGCATAGGCTACCAACAAAGATATACTAGGTTCGAGTCTTGTTTATGTGATGTGTGTGTAAGTCTGCCTTAATTGGCCTAAATGTCCCAAAAAAAAACAAAAACAAAAACAAAATAAAAAAAAGAAAATAAAAACTTTAAATAAATTCATAATAAGAAGAAAAATTTTTTACCATCCAATTTAAGCCAATAATAATTAACCATAACTTAAAATTTATATGTTAAAATCATAAGTACACCTGTAAAATATAAAATATGTATGAGTAAATAAATGTATTTGTCTATATCACCAACCAATTGGTTGAGTCTATTGACTTATAAAATAGAGGCCAAAGGTTTAAATTCTTATATGTAAGTGTGAGTGGGTGACTGGCACATAGTCGGTAAATGTGTGTGGGCATGTGGGGTTGGGTGGGTGTCGCTAGTTCAATTGTAAATCTCGCATGCATCAAATTGAAAAATAAAATAAAATAAAATATGTACACACTTTATCAAATAAATATACATAAGCTATGTATTACCATCACGCATCTTCCACAAATCAAACTTAGCACATGAAAGTTTTCAAGGAAAAACTATGGATGCACTGTAATACTAAACAAGGTTTAGATGCTCCAAAAAGTAGGTGTTTCATTGATATTGATTGGGAAAAAATTAACTGTAATTTACTCAAGTTGGTATGCACTTTTTGGGGACAAGAAATTTTACATAAAAAAAAGTCATATAGAAAGTATATATGTAGGATAAGTTCAAAGGTGATTGCGAAGAATAAATAATATTTCAATAAAGAACAAGTGCATCCAGTACAAACCCCAACACGAAGAATATAGATATCTCTAGCAACTGAATGTAGCAAGTTTGGTCGTTGAACTTTTATGGCCACAATACATCCATCAAGTGTGCGCCCTTGATAAACCTGAGGAAAGCAGCATAAAATGGTGAAGAAAATATAACCTGAACAACGTGATATCAGTGATGTTCCTATAAAACGGTCAAGCGTTAACTATATAAATAAAACATGACAATCGCTATCAAATGCAATTAATGACCATTTCCATTTAAACAGTCAAGAAAAAATTAAAAGGATGATCAAGAAAAATTACGATACAGAGAAGGTAAATTTTAGAAATAACATTAAAAAGAAGGGGGCACGTTGCAAGTTTAAAGTACATTTGATGAGGACATCGTCAGTGATTTCGACACGTGTACCATCAGAGATTGACGACCACAATCAGGAGTTTATAATTTGAGTCATTTTATGTAGTAGTTTATTTTACTTTTCAGTTTTACTGTTTTACCCTTATGGATGGTCATTTGATATTGTAGCCCCGAGGGCATTTATGAGGGCATTTATGTCTTTTAGTTTTAGTTTCATTTTGACCTATTTATAGGAGGCCTCATGCATTGTATAAAAAGAATGTTGATGAATAAAATTTTTCCCTTATTGATCTCTTTGTGAGTTCGTGGTGCTTCCTCTAGATCTCTTTGTGAGTTCGTGGTGCTTCCTCTAGATCTCTTTGTGAGTTCTTGAGGAGGTAGTGTTGTAGATCTCTTTGTGAGTTCTAGTGGATGAAGTGTTGAGGTTTGTGATTCTTATATTCCTTTTCCTTCTCCACCAATCTCTTCCTCCTCCACCTCAAGAGAAGATAACCAAAACCCATTAACTTGGAGAACCCGACCCCCTCCCCCTCTTGTCATCGCCCCCTTGGAGCCCAAGCCGCCGGCTGCAGTCCTACCACCGGCCGGCCACCTTGCCACCGACCTCCCTTCATCCGCCCGCCACCCCTCTCTTCTCCTAGCCATCATATTTGAAATTCAAATTTCGAATTTCAAATTCTTTCCAAATTAGGAAATCCAAATTATGAAAGTTTTTATGTTGAATCCAATTTTAAATTAAATCAAATTGGATTTAATAATTTTTCTTTCCTAGTCATCATTACCTATTTAGAAACCCCCTCACATCCTCCCCCATCTCCTCCCTCCTCCTTGATGCCGCCACCCCCTTATTAGGGTTTCCCATTTAATGCTCAATTAATCCTCCCTCTTATTTGAAATTCAAATTTAATTTCAAATATTCTCCCTCCACTTTCACTTGAGCTGAAATTAATTTCAATTTTTATTCTCTTTCCTTAATCCCTCTCCCTCTCATTAAACCGCCGGCCCCTAGGGGGTTCAAAGCTTAATTGCCCCCTTAATTGCCCATCCCCACTCGATATTCGAATTTCAAATTCATTTAATCTCCTTCCAATTTTCTTAAAACTGAAATTAACTTCAGTTTTTCCTAAATCCCTCAAACCTAAGTGGATCTACCCGCCCCTCTCCCTCTACCCGAGCCCACTCCCTCCCCTCTTTGTTTGGCCGAGCTTCACCAAGAAAAGACTCTTCTACCGCCAAATTCATCCACCCCGCAAGAACTTCTCATAGTCATGAATGGCTGATCCGGAGCGTGATTACGACATTGCATACGATCATCAAGGCGACATTGACTTCATCTGATCACCGTTCTTTGACGTTGGATTCGACTTCGACCATACCATTGAGGATTACTTAAACCGGATTCTTCCCACCATCGTGGACGTCATCGATGAGCAACTTCTGACAGACGAGTGGATCATCAACGGCCGAACACCTTCTTCTCCAAATCTGACTTCCTCCCCGGCGGTTAGCCCCCTCGGCATTACTTGTCTAATAGTGGCATCGTTGAGTTTGTGCGCCATCCTCTTCCGCTAACCAAGTGAATCCAAGAGTGAAATTGAGGGACTTAGAGGTGAAGGATCTATATCTTAAGCCTTGGATTTTTGTTAAGAGCCATTTGCTTTATTACTTATTGGATTAATTTTGTTTGTTTCATGTTGCTTCTAAATGTAATTGATTGACGTTGCTTAGTTCTTCCATGGAAATTTCTTGCGATCTATCTTGAAAAGCATTTGTTTAAAATTAGCAACGCAAGTTCACAAGTATTAAATTCTAACAAGCAATTCTTGCATCGTATCACATCAGGTAGGGAAAGCTTGCTTAGCTACAAAGACGGTTTGAGAAAGACAAGAAAAAATGCAGTAAGGTCACATTCTAATTTTTATTTTGGCGCCATGGAAAACATAGTTTTCAAGAGTTCAAGTGACGAGCATCAAGCATAAATTTGCCTTCTGTATTAAAAGTTGGAAATAATAGTATTGTCTTTGATAATATAGGAAGTATCAAGTATAAGATCGTAACTGAATCGTCCCAGTTGAATCCTGGGTTGTTTGAATCATGAGAATAAAGAACAAAAAAGAAACAGCTTAATATAAAGGAAATATGAACATTTCACCAAGCACAAAAAGCTTTGAAAAGAATGCAAACGTTTTTAGTTGGTAGTTAATGAGAATCTTGATTTACAAGCTAGGTCCCAGTTCCAAGGCAACTGATATTGCATTTTCTTAGGGGGATACCTGAATTAATAATTGGGAACATCATAAATATAGGTACCACATTATAGTCACAGCTGGTAGATGACAAATCTCGCAGAATCCTCCATACAAGAAATGTCAACAGCTAAACTCCAAATGCCAAAACAAAAGCTAAATGATAGATTGCAAACAAAAAGCGGATAAAAAAATAGTCTTGTGCCATCAAATCATCATAGCTGCTTGTAAAATTAAGGTTGAATAAGGAAGAGAGCATAAAGATAATAAACAAGCACTTCAAGGTTGTTCCCCCAAGCACATTGACTTTGAGCAAAACTTCTATTTCTTTTTGTTGGGGGGGGGGGGGGGGGGGGGGTGGTTGGTCTCACACTATTTCTCATTTATGAAATAGTTGGAACAAGGCTAATAATAAAGACTAAATTAGTTCTCATTAAAGAGATAGTCAGGGCCAAGGGTGGAACCCCCTTGAGCTCAGGGGGGTCAATTGGCCCCTAAAAAATTATTTTTTTTTTATATTATATGATTCTTTAGGTAATTTGTCCCCTCAATTTATTTTTTTTGTCTTTATTACAAGGGTTTTAGGCAATTGCCCCTCTAAAAATTTTAAAATACTATAGTCTTTAAGCAATTGCCCCAAGTATAATTAAACACATTGTGTAGAGTTGTTATTGCTAGGGGACGATGAAACAACTACAAAGATAAATAATAAATCAAAATTTGTTCCGAAGGCGCTGCCCCTTGACCCCGCGACCTGACAGGTCGAATCCCACCAAGGGGCGCTACGTGAAAATTATAGCCGGTTCCTCCCCTGGTCAGGGCCCTATTATTTGTCCCAATAATCAACAAATAGTCATAAGAGAATGAATATAGAAATGATTAATTTCAAGCTACTAGTTCCAGCTGAAAGGCATGAAACTTATCCACATGAGCGGTGGTAAACATTCCCTATTCCAGCACACCAAATTGACGATTTAACGCATGCATTGGTTAAAGGATGTTTCTGTAAGAAGAGCAACAACAATATAGAAACTTAAAGAAACTTGGATGGAAGTGAAAATTCAAGCCTGTAGTTAAGACTAAAAAATATATTGATCATTGAAACTTGATAAGTTGCTGGAAAAGAGCAACGGTGATATAGACAACTTGGATACACAACTTTTCTGCAGGTAACAACTAGAGCTTTCAGGTAGTACGAGTAAAAATGTTTAATACTGGCAAATGTATGACAATTTCCCAACAGATTATGCAAACTGAATTCATGTTAATTTTTATTAGGTCGCTTTTGTAGGTGAGTGGGTAGTTGATAGCGTGATAGGTTCTTGAACATAAGCTAATAGGATACCAAATAATTCATTCACATTTTATAATTCTCCCATATTGCCATCTGTTTTTGGATCAAATAATTTCATTTGGTCGGCTTTTTCAAGCAGCCTGTGGCTACAATCAAATGCAAACTCAAGTTCAAGTTTAGCTAAACTCACATTGTTTCAAGTTTAGCTAAACTCACATTGTTTCAAGTTTGAGCCAAGAATGCTTCACATTATATCTAATCAATTACTTCGGATACATCAGTAAGATAATCTTGACATTTTCCTCCATGTTAAATAATTCTGAACTACACAGTTCCCAATTAGAGAACTAACTACAAATTCAATTAGTTGTTGTAGCTGAACATTCCCTATATTTGGTCTTAAATTCTCAATCTAGCTCCAACTTGTTGTCAGCCACATATTGAAAGCAATGGCATGCATCTAGGTAGAATTTCTGAATTGCTACTAATCTCCATCTTATGGTTTGTCAAGCCAAAAATTCCTATGACATAGTGAGCCGCCAGATAAGAATGCAATGAAAGTGATGCAGTGGAGAGATCTAGAGTTATTTTTACTGTGATATTGATCTCTTCGTTACATAATAGCAAGTATAAATAATCTAGGCTGACTATATCGAGTTTGGTCCATATAGTTGTTTTGAATGCTTGATAGAAGAGTATAGACCAATTATATATATATATATATAGTAAAATATCTTCATTGTCTAAATGCGATCATGCGGCAGCTATGTTGTCTACTAGTGATTTGATTTTAGATGGATATTGAGGCGTGGTGTTATTCTTCATAGATATATAATGTAGCTCATTTTTTAGCCGAATAACATGAGATCAATTCGCAAATTGGAGCTTGATTCAGGGGTTTTCTAAATGATTATAGTGGAATCAAGGTTTAGGACATAGGGGAGAATAGAGGGAGATATTTTGGTGAAGAGAGCAATGGCTAGGTTTTGATTGATTAGCTACCATGTGTCGTAGTTTGGGTTGAGGATGGGTTGGTTAGTAGAATCGGTGTAATAATTTGAGGGACATGGTGAAGTGCCATTAAGGAAGCATTCAAATCCATTTGCCTTGAATAGTTTCAGTAGTTGAGACCGCCATATAGAATAACTTTTCGTGGAGAGATAAGTATTGCAAAAGTTTTAACATTTGCCATTAGAAATTTGTGAGATGAGGGGATGATAAATTCCGCTATCTTGAACGAGGGAGAGTCCTCCATCTGCTGCTATGGTAGGAGTAAGCCATGAACATAAAAATAAGAAAGATTAAGCACACATGACATGTGATACCATGAAGGAAAATGAACCCGGCTAAGCTAATAGAGTAGCGTATATAAAGTCAAATTTCATATGAAATATAGCAAAGCTATGAGAGAGTTCACATTACTAAGAAAGAAGAGGTGGATTACATATTGAATACAGCTCTATATTCTCTACAACGCACCCAAATATATATACTTAGGTTATTTGCATAATAATAATGAGATCATAGTAGATCAAAGTTCTAAGGTGTTCATGAAGAGTTTGTTGAAAAGTAGCAGTTGAGATATAACATCCGAAGAGGAGTGGCTACTCTAGTTTCTATGATAAGGCCATGATATATGCCTACAATATTAAATAACACATTAAAAATCACCTGTTACTTTAGATCTCAAAAATATAAATATTTAAAGCAACAACATGATTGCATTCTAATTTAATTAAGTAACTACAATATAAGGGAACATGGGAATCAAAGAATTAAATTTTACAAGTAACCATGAAGCTACAAAAATCAGAAGTTATATGTATCCCCATGCAAGAGGAACCCTATAGAATTTCCACCATAATTTTTTTTCTCTATAATGTGGCATCAATTATTCATCATAAATTATGGTCAGCGGTGATGATGTGCTGAACCAGGACCATTAGCCGATGTCATCTTTTCCTTGTCCTCAATAATCTTACCATCTCTTGGGACCAAACAAGGAATTTCATCAACTACCTAAAAGAATAACCTAGCATGCTAAATAAATAGATTTAAAAAAATCACATAATATAGGAAAGACAGAAGAACAGAAAATGACTAAACACAAATTATATTTTATGTTCTTTACTGAATTCTCTACACAATTTCAAGATGTCCGATAGTTTGCCAAAATAACAAAAACCAATCACAAAAAATAAATATGCCATGGGAGAGGAAGCAACAAAAAGTTATAATAGGTATTGCTTAATACAAGGAAAAATGGCTTAAAACCAAAGCATTTAACATAGAAATACTTCATGGTGTTTGGTTAGTTAGCAGAATAAATAGTTGAAAAAAAATTAAATTGAGAAAAGGACCAAAATGGTCCCTGTGAGGGACCAAAATGGTCCCCAACCCTTTAGAGGGACTAATGTGGTCCCTCAACTCCTTAAAAAAGGGCTTTTTTTTGTAGAAACATCAAATTTTAGAGCTAATGGAGTTAAATCAAGGGGAATTTAGGTCATATTTTAATTAAATTATTTATTAAATATAACTTTCAAGTAATAGTATTTTTTAATTTATTAAAGATTTTCTTAAGAAAATAGTAATAATTCTAATCTATAATGATCCTAAATTAAAACTGGAATTATTAATAATTTTAAAATTAAAACTAGAATTATTAATGCTTTTTTTTTCAAGGAAATGTTTAATATTTTTTTTAAATTGCCATCACTTGAAAATTATATTTAATAAATAATTTAATTAAAAAATGACTAAAATACCCCTTAATTTAACACTATTAACCCCAAAATTTAATGTTATGACCAAAAATACTCCTTTTTACGAGTTGAGGTCCCTCAAAAGAGTTGGGGACCATTTTGATTCTTTTCTGAAATTAAATCTTGTGTAACCCACATATCTTGTACGATAGTTTTACATCTTGAGGGTAAAAAATACTAGATTTGTATTCTACTTCTTTTAAAGAAGCATTCATACTTCCTAGGGTGCAACATATCCTGGGGTAATGCATCAACTGTTAGACAAAAGAGAGTGCCCACAAGCAATAATAAATAATACTATAAAAAATAAAAGCATTACAAGAAAACACACCAAAAAAAGAAATTAAAGATTTAGGTTGAATAAGATTCCATTACATTCGCAATCGTACAAAGAGATACATCCATTAATTTAGAGATGCATATAGGATTAGAACCTTTAACTACCAAATATTTCTCTTATCGCTCTATCCATGTCCCACTTCTTTAGTTTTGTTCAAAATCTTAAAACTAATTACCAAATTCATTAACCCCTCCCTCCCCTCTCCTTAAAAAAAATCAAAATATCAAACTCAAAAGAAGACTCAAATTACATAATTTTAAATATAAGATCAAAATATTCTCTATAATATGCTTCATATAAATTTTTTTATCTATCTTTTATCATATTGTTGATCAACCTATTTATTGTGAAAAAAAACTTCTTCATGTTATCTTCTTCAGTGCCAACTTTGTTTCTATCGAAGCAATCACATTGAATTATGCTCTGACCATCAAACGCCTCCATCAGTCATCACATCTAATCATTGAACAAACCTAATAATAACTCGTTTTGATTTTCACACTATTAGCCACAACCAACTTTCCTAATTGCAATGCCTTTGATCACTTGTTCTCGACTGCCTCATCTGGTTCCCACTCCGAACATCATCCCTCGACTATCACTGCATTAGTAGCGCCTCATAACTATTAGTCACATTAATCCGCCATTTATCACATATCACCACACCTAGAATGCCTACAGACTGTCAACTACCCAATGCATTGGCGATGAATATAGCCTCACCCCAATAATCAAATAATTCCTAACAAACGAACATGCTAATACAAATTCAATATTTCATTTTTTAGCTAATGAATGGAAGTGTAGAACAATATGATTTAAGATTATCCTTAAATGATAAGATTATAGTTATGAAAATTAAATAAAATTAAATTATGTTGAATCAAAGTTGAACAAATAAAATAAAACATAAAAGAAATAAAAAAAATAGAATCAAATAATAAAGAATGATGTGTAAACATAATTAAATGCAAAGATAGACTCATAACTAAGAAGCTTCTAGCAGTGAATATGTAGTCAGCAACAAGTTCATGAGTTTAAGAATTGGAAGAGGACTACATTCAAATTTCGAAGATGAAGAGAAGCTTTGTGTTTGACTTGGGAAGAGAAGCTTTGCATTCGAAGAATAGATATGGGTTCATTTTGAAAAGACATATATGTTGTTTTACCACAGTTTGGTAGTTGAGCTCGCAGTTTGGCAGTTGAGCTCGCAGTTTGGCAATCCTTCGTCACTTTCCACTAACTCGTGTTCTCACTTGCGAGAGATCCTGCACTTGGCCCCTCATAAGAGTTGGTGCATTTTTGAGAGATTGAACAAAAACATAAGCTAAAAAGAAAATAGTATTAATAATAAAATTATTTAGACACTAAAATAGATAAATAAAATAGTGTGTGCTATGAAGGCAAGTGTCATGTGTTATAGCACATGTAATGTGCATTAGTTTGACTAATCGTGCATTGCTACACAAATAATTTGAGATGTAGCTCGTCATACTATACATTATTTTGCACTATTGATCAAGCATTGGTGCAAAATTTATATAAGCTCCTCCTCTTAGATGTGGATCTATCTCCATTGTTGCCTTCCCCTGAACTTCTCCCATTGCTCTCAAGATTTAAAGCAACAGTTGATGACCCATCATTTTGATTCTTACCTCTTGATGTTCGCACTCAATATTAGGTGATGAACATCATTGAATTTCAGCTTTGTATGCCCATATGAACTGCTAATCATTGTCATAATTCCACGATAGCTCTCTGGTAGTGATGCAACAAAACTCAATGCATAAAATTTGCCGTTGAAGTTGATATCAACCAAGTTTAGCTAACTTATGATCAAATTTAAATTTTTAATAAGCATCATATGGAAGCGCTTTTGACTATCCCAAATCTTGCTATGAAATTCCTTCTCATTAAATATACCTTCTTTACAACTGAAAGCTTCTCACACCAATTTGACAGCTTACAGCACACTAGTTATGATCATCTAGTAAAATATATTAAAGGAAATATTCTTCTTCAATGACAGGCATACAACACTCAATACCCATCTATCTAAGAGATCCCAGTTATGATAATTAAACCTATTGGCTCATACTTGTAGAGAAAATGCATACCAAATTCGCTAAAACACTTTTGAACATTTAAATATCATAAAAAATACATAAAACACGTATATGTGTATGGATAGAAGGATTTTGCCCTGATTGAACCTTAATCCAGTTTTTTCAAGTTTTTCATATTGTCCTGTTTACTTTTTAATCATGTGGTTGTATCACTGCATCATACCCATCCTTCATATAATGCATCGAATGGTTTACTCTATCTTACTCAAAACGAAATATTTCTCATTGCCAAGTAAGAAAAAAAAACACTAAACAAAGCCTCAAAACCAAAATTGAACTGGATTAAACAGTTGGTTCGTTCATTTTTGGCTTTAGTTTTGACCAAAAAAGAACCTGCGCATTCTGCTAGCCCTTGCTTTATGATTGGCATGCTATATTTACATATTGAAGTCATTGTGTCTTCAGAGCACCAACATATTTGTACACCACAAGCATGTTTTCTATGGTCTTGAATCCATGGAGGGGGTGTATGCATGCGATGGGGATTTTCTTTATACATTATCCACACACAAATTTAAAACTTGAAAGTAATACATAACAAAATGAAACTCAAAATTCCCCAACGTTCATGTTTCCGCTGTTAGGAATGTTCTTTATTAAATGGAACGAACCAGTCTACCGCTAAAAAATGCAAGCAAATGTATAACACACAGCCAGCATAAATCTGTTGGTGTTCTCCAGAATGGATTCAGCTACAATTATAAGAGCTTTTGATGGGGACATTCGGTCATGGAAAGTTTATCGTCATCGAGGCCGGAGATTAGCGGCCGTGATTGAGTCGTTGTATATGTAGTTTGTTTTATTTGATCTTTTGGATTTGTGTTGTTTTATTTCCTATTTTACCCTCATGTGAGGGGAATGTTATGTTTGGTGATCAAGGATATTTTGGTCTTGTTGTTTTTTCCTTCTTTTTGGGCTTATATATAGGAGCCCTAATCCTTTGTAATTTGGTCAATGAATGTTGAAAGCGTTTTTACCTTTGGAGCTTAGTTTTCTTCTTTCTAAGTAGCTTGGTAAAGATTAGTTTAGTGATGTGAGTGTGAAGTACCCAACAGCCCGTTGGCTCTTGGGTTTTATCCTTGTTCCCAAGTCTCTCCATCTCCTTCCCAGCTCCCAATCGAACCCTTCCCCTACTCCCAGCCAGCGTTTCCAAACTCATGCAACAGATTTCTGCTTGGAAACCTACTGTCTGAAGCCTTCTAACCCCACCAATAGCCCTCCGTTTACCCTCCCTCCTAGTGCTAGTAACCAATCACCCAACATCCACTTCGGTGACCCTTCCTCTTCCAAAAACCACTGAAATTTCCCCTCCCAACAGCCAAAAAAATTTTGTCTTTACATCTTCCTCAATGGAAGTTGGAAAGTCACTTTGCCTCTTCGTATTCTCCAAAACCTTTTTCAAAACTGAAAGTGCTGACTTTTAACTTTCCCAGAGTCCCACTTCATTTCCCTATTAAATAAAAGCCACATAACCTTCCAACTCCCCCCAAACTTGCTGCCTACTTTTCCCAACAGTCACTAAACCATGTTTTCCACTATATCCCCTTCCCAAAACAACTGAAACTAATCCTCACTCCTTTCCCAGTCATTAGAAAACTCCACACTCCTCCATTAGACCCTCAACCATCTCTTTAGCCTCCACTAACACTCCAAACAGCATTCTCCCTTCCCAAAACAATCAAATCAGTAAATGTTGTCCTCCAAAGTCACCATAGAGGACTCCTTTCAGTAGATTCATTTGCAACTAATCCTAAACTAAAAGTGGGACTCTAGCCATCTATGTTTTCAAGTTTTTTTTTTAATTACTTTACTCCTTTTAAATTGTGAATGTCGTTACTAGCCAAGTTTCTTGTTTTGCGTAGTTGCATTGCCTAAATTTCTTGTCTTGATAAATTTCCTTGTAGTTTTAATTTGCTGTTTTTATTTATTCCCTAGCATAAATCTCTATGTGCATGATCAATTTACTTTGTCCTGCATCAGCTTTATTGCAAGTTTGCAACAACAAAATATTCCAGAATCTTCTAGTTGGATAAAGAGAAACATAATGGTGGACTTCCTCGCTGTAATTTCGACCGGCAACTACAGAGAGGACAATAACTATGCTGGAACTGGAACGATGGAACTTACCGGGAAGGAAACGCCGATTGCATCACTGATAAGAGATTGAGTTTCCTGGCAAAACCTGGACGGAAATCAGGAAACGACCAAAAGAATGACACATAAATTGATTCCAAAATTTTCTAAACAACGACGGGATGGATGAAGCGGATGAGATACCTCAAGGGCTGCTTGGAGACAGGGCAAACTAAGATGTCCAGTAGGGCCTTGCTGATAGCGCCCGCGTGCGCCCTGCTCCCCCTCACCATCCCCTTGAACCCAGAACTATTTCTTCGCAGATATCAAACATAGATCTCCTCGAGCTGCGCTTGTATGATTCAGGGGCTGTTTGCCAAAAGTCGTATTTACCTTTAGTAGGATTAAATCATCTCAATTTCGGATTTAGTAGTTGGAAAATTATTTGGCAAAATAGTTATTAAAGTTCGTTCGGGATGACTTTTTTTAATGTTTTTAAAATATTTTTTAATATAAAAATTTTAATTTTTTACTTAAAAATTATTTTAAGAAACAGTAAGAAAATTGTTCAAAAAGAAATATAAATCTTATTAAGTTATGTGAAACTTATTCAGTAATCTAACCCTAGATTTAAGAAGATGATTCATTTAAAAATTAAATTTAATGTTTATCGTGATCAATAAGTTATAATAATAAATAATTTAATTAGAAATTAATTTAATTATTATATAATTTAATTACTAATTATAGTACTATTTATCATATTACTTATTTAGGTGTTAATTTAATAAGTAGTTGATAGATAATTATATTAATAATTATCTAATTATTTTTTAAAACAAACTAATTATTAAACTAATTTTCTAATTGATTTAAAATTAATTTTTAAAGTAATTTTTAATTATTAAATATACTTATTAATAATCTCATTAATCATTTAAATATTCAACTACTAATTAATTATTTAATTATTATTATAATGCCATTTATTTATATTTTCAAAATGTTATTAATTAAACTATTTATTTTAATTTTAATTACTAATTATTTAATTAAACTTAGGGTCTTGCTTTTCATCTTCGCCCTTTATTGTTACTGTTTGCTTTCTTCATGCCTGCTTCGACCTCATGTTGCTTCACATGAGGTTTGAAGTTTTGTGTGAAGTTGTGTTTGAAAGAGGTCAATTAAAGAAAGCTTCGTTTGCATCCTTTCAATGAAGTCAGATTATAAGTCACGACAGAAGCTCGCCTCGCTCACATGCAAAGGTAACCAACTTTTACCCTTTCACGTGCTTCTTCGACCAAATCCCATTAAATATGTCGAATTATAGGATTTACGACAAAAAGAGGGAAATAGGGATTTATTCCACCGTGATATGATTGATATATGTAAGCAAGGAAGTCTGGTTGTGAACAATATAATTAATGTGGATTGGTTATTAAACTTAATGTCCTATATTAAGGGTGGGGATGATAGGCTCTCCTCCAGGGCTGCCTATTAATATTCCAAAATGACAATTCTTTTGCCATTCCAATCATTTCAAATGTTTGCTAGTACCTTAAAAATGACATGGCACTGAGAATTTCTCATTTAAAGTTTTCATTGATGACTTTTATGAAGGTTTTCAACATCCCACTTGGTATAAATATGTTTGGCACAATAATTATGTCTTGAGATATTCAGCTTTATACAACTGGATTACTTTAGCGGACGGTCTTAAAATGTGAAATAATTTAGTGAAAGAGGCATTAATATTTAAGATATGGGCTTTGCAACACTCTTTCCGTGATCTATTTTATCAAATATATTTTAATTTGAGTGACCTCATTATCCATTATTATAAGCTTGATTCCCTAGATGGATATCTTTCTTTTGAGGTCTAACTTAATGCAGTTGTTTGATTTCATTTATGAACATTACATTTAGCAATGTTCACAAAAAAGTTCGTTACAACTTGATGATTTGTTGTTTACTTTATCATATTTGAGGAAAATGAATGGTAGAAGATTTGGTCCAAACTATAATAGCATTTATACTATTTCTTGCACCATAAAAGAAAAGCCATTCAATTCCTAAAAATTGTTAGTTGGAAAAAGAGATGACTGTCATTAACTTAATCTCTTAAGTTATGTTTTTCATTTCTTTTTCATTATGTTTTGCAGTTTGCTTCTATATTATGATTTTCGATATCAATTTTCACAAGACATTAGATTTTGTCACTTGGTTCTTTTATCATCCTACTTTAGTATGTGATTGTGTACATCATGTTTTGGCTGTCATTTTACAGTAGTCATTTATTGCTACTCTTGCTCGCTAGGAGTTTTTAAGATGCAAAGTTGACTATGAGAAAATTGTTTCTCATCTCCTTGGAGGAATTTTTTATTTGTTTCTTGTTCTTTGAGTCCTATGACAGTCAGCTCTTATCCTTGGATTAGTAATTCCGCAACAAGGGAGTGACTGAATCTTTTGTTTGTCAAGAGTTTTTTGAACATTTTGAGTCCAAAGTTTTTATGCTTTCCTTATGTTTTTTTCTTATTTTATATTTGCTTTGATATTAGGCATTGCCTTTTTTATATCGACCCTCTATAATTTTATCTTCATATCCATAGTGTTGTACTTTTCCTTTACATATGTAACTTTTATTATATAATCAATGAAATTGGCTAAGCCTTATAATTCCCTCCCCTCCGCCTCAAAAAAAAAAAAAAATTTTATTCTTGTTTGGAAAAAAGTAATTTTTATTATTTTTTTTTAATTACAAAAATAGTTCAAAATGTGAATTGTGTATATTATAAAAATAAAGCGATTGAAAACACTGGTCTCAAATAAAACCCTAAGTTTAGAATATAAAATTTGTGATTGAAAGTTTAATTCTCAACTAATAGATTAAGATGAAATGCTAAAATCAACTTCTGCATGAAATTTAATTTTCTATGCAATCAAGTGATTAATTTTATGGATGCGAACAGTTGAGACTTAATTGCTGCATATATTTGAGGAAAACATGAACAATGAGTCCATCTAAATTGGATTTTGCATAGTTAATGTTCACCTGAAATACTCAATAGGGCTGTACATCTATTTCTGTTATAGCGGGAATTGTATATATATATATATATATAACTATCAAATTTTCAATTTACCTGTAAAATACCTAAATTTATTATTTATTCATAAAACACTTAAAATTTACAAAAAAATTATCACCCATTCCCTAACTATACTACCCACTTTTGCTGTAAATACTAAATAGAATACTTGTTAACCATAATGGGATTTTATAAATAAAAAAAAAGTATTATTAACCTTTATTGATATTTGGATGATTTAAAAGAGACTTAGGAATTAAATTTGATAAGGAAAGAATCACACTTGAGGGCACTGATGTGCTACTGTGGAGATCATTGTGGTACCAAGCTATCTATATAATCAAAGAAAACTGAAGCGCTTGGGAGCACTGCAACGCTAGTCATACGACATTACATTCTCTGTTTGGTGGATACTGTTTAGGAGCATTGTGATGCTATAGAGTGGCATTGTGGTGCTGAGGTCTCAGGTTATAAGAAGATTCTAAAGAATGAGAATTTTTTGGGAGCTTAATAACACTGGATGATGTAACACAACAACATTGACCACTTTTTAGAATTTTTTTATAAATATATAATCCCACCTCTCCTAGCCATACCTTTCATTTCATTTTGTCGGTAGAGAAGAGAAGAAGTGTGGGAAGGAGAAAAGGCAGAGGAGAAAAGAAGGAAGAGAGAAAAAGAGGATTTTTAGGTGATAGAGTTGGTTTCGCTCGTTGAGCTAGTTAATAAAAGTGTTCCTCTCCAGGAATATAATCATTATCCTAAGTTTGTTTTTAGTTATTTTAATTTCTATAATTTTTTTAGGTTTTAAAATGATTAAAATATGTCAATGATGTGATTTATTGATTTCTAACATACTTTTATCACGTAATTATTATTATATTATAGATTTGGTTATTCTACACATTTTGATATGATCACATTGATATTTTATCAAATATTTCTATATTTGATGTATTCCCTATAAGGAGAGTTAAATAAATATGCACAATAAATTGATGTATGACTACTACATTAAGATTATATAAAATGATTTACATACATAGTAAATTTATATAACATGCATAGTTGATATGACATGTGTAATTGACATTATATGATATAGTTAGCTATAGAATGTATATATGTATCAATTTACTTTTTGAATAAGCATACATGAAAATGTTCATGCTATATTGATTATTGAGAATTGTTATTATGATTTACATAATACTGACCATGAACAATAAATATGATATATATGCATATATTTATCTTGAAATATCTGCAAGTAAGAAAAGCTAACTCGTGAATGAGATTGATTTAGGTTGGTGGAGACATGATATGATGTCATACATAGGAGGGTGGGTCAGTATGCTTTCTTTTAAATAAACTTGATACATGATATGATGGAGGCATGAGAAGATAATGATATGACTAATTACAACGACGATTCCTTTATGTGCCACATGAATATGATTGAGACTGATATTGTACGGTAGATTATATTGTAAAGTCATATAATTGATATGATATGATTAACTAGAATCCTGACTTGCTATTGATATATATGGATTAATGATACACATATATAATGCTGCATTTGATATGTATGAACTTATATGATGATGTATATATCAATCTTATGATGATACATGATTTTTTGCATATGCATAATCCTAGTATAAAGTTGAGTTCACTACTTTAGCCATATATGCATATGCATTGCAACTCATTAGTATGGTTGAAGAAATGTGTTATCAATTTCTAATGGAGCTTAGAGATAAATTAAGTCAACATTTATTACCTTTGAGGATTTTTTTTTTTTGGTAGAAAGAGCAAGATTGGTGAAGAATGATTTGTTAGTATTTTAGTTTAGATGGGATGTAAGTAAGAAAATATTTAGTGAAAAAATGATGATAGGGAATACTAATGGAAAGAAGAACAAGTTTAGTGAAGTCAAAAAATGACTCATGACATTTTCCATTAGTACAATAGAATGTACTCATTGTGGAAATAGGCATTTGGGCCAGTGATATATGATCATTGAACACTGTTTTTGATGTAATTGTTAGAACTATAAGATAATACATTGTCTTGAGAGAGAGATTGGAAAGAACTATGATCCAATACAGTGCAGTCAAAATAGGCTTATAAACAAAGTATTGTACCAACAAGGACTTTCAGTGAAAACTTTATAATAGTTACTATGTATCTTTGAACTTGTATGCAACACTAATCTATTTTCTATAATTTTAGATAAAATTATATTTCATCATTCATAGAATTCATAGAAGGATAATGATGAAATAATAATATATTGGAGGGGCAAAATTTAAGGGTTTAAAAAGTTCAATAGCATTGATACGTCCTCAAAAAATAATCTTGATCGGGCACGAATCTCGATGAAAAATTAAAATTGGGACCATCCAAACTCCGATTTCAGTAAGCTTACAGTCGAACTGAACGTCTCGAAAATACAAACCCAACAACACCAAATTCGACTCAATCCAAGCCCAAATGGGTCCAAATCAAGGGTCCGAAGAGCTGTTGGAGAGTTTGAACCACAAATTGGATTACCAAACGGTTTCCAAACATGACGTGCTTATAGTCAAATAGAGCGGCTTGACGAGACAAATCCAACGAGTCTAAGATCACTAAATTCTGACATCATGAAGACATTCAAATATCCATCAAATGGTCCATGATCAAGAGATTCAACATCGGCCATCCATCCAACCACTCCTGATTTATCATTGATCTCTTAACCATTTACGGGTCATGCCACTCCAGAAATCTATCAATTTCTCTTGAAATGGGACCGAAATAAGGAAGAAGAGAAGGAAGAGAAGGAAGAAGCTCCTCCTCGACCACCGCCGGACTTCCGTCGGACCACCACTTGATGCCCTCACCTCCGTCGGATCAATGACTGACATCAATGCTTCGCCGGACCACCACTTGAGGCCCTTACCTCCGTCAGACCATCGCCTGATATCGTTGCTCCGTCGGACCACCACTTGAGGCCCTGAGCTCTGCCGAACCACCACTTAAGGCCCTCACCTCCGCCGAACCACCGCACGACGTCGTTGCTCCACCGGACCACCACTTGAGGCTCTGAGCTCCACCGAATCACCACTTAAGTCCCTCACCTCCGCTGGACCACTACTTGAGGCCCTCAGTTCCTCCGGACCACCGCCTGACGTCGTTGCTCTCCCGGACCACCACTTGAGGCTCTATGCTCCACCAAGCCACCACCTGAGCCCTGAACTTCCGTCGGTCCACCACCTGAGGCCCGAACTTTTGCCGGACCACCACTTAAGGTCCAGACTTCTTCTGGGCCACCACCTGACGCCTAGAGTTATACCAGAGTACCTCCCTATAACAACAGTCTTTCTGACCACGGTCTCTTGCCAACTACGGTCTTTCGGACCTCTGTCTCCTGCTGACTACGGTCCTTCCGACCTCCATCGCATACTATGATCCTTCCGACCCCTATCACTAGACAATGGTCTTTCTAACCCCTGTCTCCTGCCGCATATGGTCCTTCCGACCTCCGTCGCTTACTATGATCCTTCCAACCTACATTGCTAGACACCGGTCTTTCTGACCTCGGTTTCCTGCATAATACGGTCCTTTCGACCTACATCGCCAGACAACGATCTTTCTGACCCCGGTCTCCTGCCAAATACAGTCTTTCAGACCCTTCAAATCAAACAAATATATCTATGTTCATTATTGTAACTCCCACCATGTAATGCACTCTATATGATGTATGTTTGTACCATCAAGCCAAGGCCTTCTCCCAAGGAAGGGCCTCATTTGTAATAGACTACAAATACTAGAGGATTCAGTCAAACTGGGTCAGGCCTCGTGGTTTTTTCCCCTTTTCAGGAGTTTCCACGTAAAAACTATGGTGTCTCTTACGAATGCTACACACTCTCTCTTATCTTCTTGTGCGCTAGATCTTCATACAATGTTAAGACGTTAAACTACATCTTTTTTTACCGCCGCGAATACTCTAGTACGCAACAAGTATTATATATTTTGTAGACTTTTTTGATACTTTTAAGTGTCGCTAATGGAGCTAAATTTGACCAAATTAATTGTTTCAAAAATAACATTCATTTTGATTTATTATTGGCCAAAATGCGCCACGTTAGTATCTTTTGCATTTGGCCAATTTTAGCTTCGCGAACGTCGTGGGATCTAACTCATTACGAATATGCTCCGCGAGACAGTATATCTCCACCATCTTCCTCTTTAAAGCCGCCACTACGAGCACAAGGGTTTGGACGGCCTAGCTAGCGTTCAAGCAAGAAGGCACGAGCGAGGATGAGAAGGACGCATAGTTTGTACTCCCACTTCCTCGTCGCGAGGAGAACGGTCCCGCCTTGCTCTGGAATTTCTAGCTGTAGAGTCGCCTGCGAGCAGAAACTCGTATCCTCCGCGCTTTATAGCTCCGCCACCGCTTTCGATCTCAATCGATGTTGGTTGCCTCTACGGTTTCCGTTTGCATCTACGGCGTCAAATTCGATCAAGGCTGGCGTGGCGGGAGCTCTGTCATTTTCTTTTGCTCTGTCGACGGCAGTGGAGGCGAAGGAGCCACCTTCCCCAGAGCTCTTGCCGAAAGATGTGGTTCTTTACCAGTACGAGGCTTGTCCGTTTTGCAACAAAGTTAAAGGTACGCCGTTCTCCTTTAGAACTGTTAGTGGGTGGAATTGGAGTTGTCGTTCCAAGCAGTTTGCTGTGGCAGTGTACGATAAATTTATATTCTACAAAGGAATGAATAGTACCAAAAAACCAAAAATACAATTTTATAGAATTAAAACATTAGATCATTCTCATCATTGTGCCTAAGTTAACCTAACATGGTTATTGTATCGTAGTTTTTTTTCCCATAAAACCTAATAAACTTTTTTTTTTCTTTTTCGGCTTGTAGACTCAAAGTTCAGGCCATTAGGATAAGATCATGTTTTATGGAAAAAGGAAAGATATACTAGACAATGATTTGCAATAGAAGATTCTAGGAGTGAGTTGCTTGGAACCTATTTTCCTAATGTGTATTGCAGATAGATGAGGAAATTATAAACCTTAAGTTGTTGAGCAATGCAGAGGCACACTGAAAGGACCATTTGAGCGCTTTGATAGATGGTGGTGGCTTATTAGATTGCAGATGACTAAATGAAATCGTGGAGCAGCATAAGTTACTATGGTGGAGAAAGTAAGGTGTTGAGTTGTGTTTTATTAAGCTCTGAATACCAAGGGGAGGCCAGGATAATCAATTGTTACCAATTGAAACTTCTCTGGCCAAGGTAAACACATGAGTAGAAGATGTTTAAATGGAATGCCATAGCATTGGAGACCATCAAGTTTTGATGTTTTGGCACTTAACAATACCATCGATTCTCAAATATATCTAAAAAACTCTGTGAATATAAAACACTAAAACTGGCCGCGCACTAGGTGCCTATATATATATATATATATTTGTATGATTTGGTGCATTTTTTTTACTTAAGATGTCAACAATTGTTGGAATGATCATTATCAGTCAGTTTAGATTCTAGAAAAAGAATTTGCAACTAAAATTGAAAAGCCAAAGTAACATAACTTTGGTGTCAAAGACCAAACGACGATTTTCAATATTGAGCTAAACTAGTCAAATATTATTGATTCTTAGTGATTTGGGTCAATTGTGACTAGTCAAATGGTATTGATTCTTATTGATTTGGGTCAATTGGTGCACATGCCCACTTCCTAACAACCAAGTGGAGATAGGGATTAAATCAACTACCTCAATTTTGCTAATATCAATTGAGCGTCCTGATCCAATGAGTTGAAACAGTCTTCTTTGTTGGAAAGTGCATATTTTTTGTTAATTAAAAGATGTTTACTTACTCCAATAAAAAAAAAAATTCAAAACAAAGGGGATTCAATTATGACTTTTGATTATGGTTAGACTTCTCTTGGTATACCCATCTAAATAGAAAAAGCCGTATAAAGTTTCATTTATAGAGGTTGTGGAAATATAAAATCAATTTGTACTCTGCACATGATTGAATTTTACAAAAAATACATTGTAATAAAATTAAAATATTAGATCATGCTTCACATATTACCCAAGATAAGTTGTATTTATAAAATAACTTAACATAATTTTTTTATCATAGTTATTTCAGATTTTTTTTTTAAATTCAAGATAAAAATATAACACTTAAGTATTTAATTGACTATCATTCTCCAAGACTTTGTGAATAGAATGCGTGACTTTTTTTATTCCACCTATTTCCCGGAAAATGATACACATGCATTCACCCTCCATTCTTGGATTTTATCTTTACAATAGAATTGATTTGCCTCTCTTGGTGTACTACAATTTTCTACGAGGAAAGAGGGATGAATTTCTCCAGTACAAACCATTCATCAAATATGATGATTGCCATAAAAATAGAGTGAGGAATTTCTTTTTGTTGAATTTCTTATTGCCAAATTTCTTCTTTGGCCTTATTCTTCCTTCTAACTTGTATAATTAAAGATGATGGTCTATTCTACTAGCCCTAATATTTCCGTGCTCTCTCTCAAGTTCTTTCGACCATTGAGATTTCACCTCCTTCTCAACTAGTCTATGTCTAAAATGCCTTGTTATTAGGCATTTTGGTGGCTGCGGTGGTTGAAGTGATGATAATCATTATTGTGGGGAAAAGTTTTCCCTCTTCGTTCTCATTGCGATCACACTAATTATTCATTAGAATGTCATTAGGCCAAATTTGGTTACCTCTCTTTATCGCTCATAATGCCTTTAGGCTTCAACTCCAATCATTGGTACCTCCATTTCAAACATGTATTCTGGTTTGACTCATGATACTTATAACCTTATAGTTCATGCATAATCTCCTTCGAATTTTCGACATGGTCAATTAATATATTTTGCCATTTTGGAAGTCATTATTGCCTCTTGAATTTCACGACTAGGTCACAAATAGGTGCCTGACATTAGCTTTTGATAGAGTTCTTGATTTTGATCAAGTTTGATAAAATTAGTATTTTAATTGTGATGAAAAAAATTTATTTGTTGAATTTTCTCTTTGATTTTTTTATTTAATTGATTATTGCATTATCATTTTAGTTTTAATCCCATTTTTTTGCTTTGTACTTGAGGAAAGCGAGTTTTTGTGCCTTTAGTGACCTTTAATGTGAGAATCATATTTTCTCTTACATGATCTGCATTCATTATATAATATATATTGCATTAGGAATCCTAGAATCCTAAACATTCCACATTAGGAAAGCTCGTGAAAAGAATAACGATAGCCTTCCAAATTAGTGTTGAGATAATTAATGCATCATAAGAAACATATTATAGGCCCTAAGTAAATATAAAGGTTATTTAAAACAATTTGGAGATTGAATTATTATGGGATGAGATATTACATTGGGTCTTGTTCTTCCATCTCTATCTTTTCTCTCTCTTCCTTTTATATTTTTCTATATCGTATCCATACTCCTATATTAAGAAAATGATTAAACAAAATGCTAAAACACCAGAGAACTAAGAAGTACAGAGGTTTTGGCATTTTGCAGTGCTGCTGAGCTGCAAATGCTTTAAAAATTCAAGGTAAGTGCATAACACTAAAGTTGTGGTCCACCAGTTGCCTATATCTTTTTTGGATGATTTGCTATTTTTTTTTTTCAAAATTAAGTTGTCAATATGTGTTGAAATGATGGCAATCATCTAATTCGGGTTCTAGAACACAACTTCCAAATATTAATTGATTAACCAATGTACCCTAGTTTTTGGGACAAGATCCACATTGAGATTTTGAATAATGAATCAATTTGGCGAAACATTGTTGGTTTGGTTAATCAGATTGGGTAAGACTTGCTCTCCGTTTAAAGGAGAGGTAGGAGTTCCCAAATTTGCTGATAACAATTGAGTCTACTTCAATCCATCTGGGTTGAAGTAATATTTTTTTTGGTGGAAGATCAACATAAAGTTTTTTGAAAGATATTTGTTTTTTCCAACGTACAAAAAGATAAAAGGGAGATTCCAGATGGATTTGTTATTTTTTTTATCACAATTAAGTTGTCAATATGAAAATGTGTGTTAAAATGATGGCAATCTGCTAATTCGGATTCTGGAACACAACTTCCAAACAAAAATTGATTAGCCAATGTACCCTGGTTTTTGGGACAAAACCCAAATTGGGATTTCAATAATGAATCTATCTGACCAAACTTTGTTGGCTTGGTTAATCGCTTTGGATAAACTTAGTGCATACCTCTGCTCTCCGTTAAAGAAGGCGAGGTAGGAGTTCTAATAACAACAGATTTCTACTCCAATCCCTCTGGGTTGAATTAGTTTTCTGTGGTGGAAGATTAACATAATTTTTTTTTTTGAAAGACATTTGTTTATTCTAGCGTACAAAAACATAAAAGGGGATTCAGTCGTGACTCCTGGTTGCATGAACCAAAAAGAAAAAAAACTCTGAAGTAAAATGAAGAGAGGCTGATAGAGAAAAGGAGAGAGGGATTCAATCAAATTGCTCACCTTTTTTAGATGATTTGGTGCTTCTTTTCATACCCGAGTTCTTAAAATGTGCTTAAGTGATGGAGTTGGATAAAATAGAAGACACTTCTTTAATGAATTATGCTGCACTTTTATGCTATTTACTTTCCTGGTATGAGCATAGTTTCTTCTTTATAATTTTCTATCATAATATGCTGTTTGACATCTCTGTAATTTGCATAGAGTTTTGTGTGTTGTTGGAAGGCAACTTTGGCAGTATGTTATCTTAAAAGCGGTAACCCTTTTTATGTTTATCTCCAGCATTTTTGGACTATCATGATATACCATATAAGGTTGTGGAAGTAAACCCTTTCAGTAAAAAGGAAATCAAATGGTCTGACTATAAGAAGGTTCCAATTCTAGTGGTGGACGGTGAACAGCTTGTTGACTCCTCAGGTTCTTTCTTTATACTTTTGTTTTGTTTGCTGAAACAGAATCCTCTGAAGTCTCTTTGAATATATTTTTTTTTCAAGTGCAAGTTCATTAAATCTATTTGTTCAGAATAGCAAATTTAGCAGGTTAGCAGTACATGCTTAATTTGGTTTCATCTTCTTAGATATAATTGACAAGTTAAGCCACATGATCCATCCTAAGAACAAAGTCGTTGATGAGGAAGAGACAAAGTGGCGTAGGTAAAAATTTCAGTGCTATTCCATGTTTAATTAAATCCATGGCTAATTGCAGCGTTATTTAACCATTTGATCTCATTTTCGTTTATGTTTGTCTTGCTCCATTATCTTCTGTCATTTCTCCTGCTTCATAGGGTGTTAAAGCTGAGTTACAAGCTATCTTTTGTTTACTGGTTAAATTTAGTTATTTAATGCTATTTATGGCTGTACAAAACTAAGAGAAATATCTGAACAAAAAAAAAATTGATATCTAACTTAAAAAATATTTCCTAGATAACACTGAAACTAGCTCTCTATGTATCGCTCATGAAGTTCAAATAGCTTTGTTTTTTTTTTTTTTTTTAATTCAGCCATCCTCATACATTTGCATGGATTTTGTTTTCAGAGTTTAAGGTTTCGATAGTTCCTTGTTCATTATCATTAGTGATGTTTAAGTGGTATTTGCTAATTTTGATTTTATTATTATAGGTGGGTTGATGAACACCTTGTACATGTCTTATCTCCAAACATATACCGTACTACTTCTGAGGCTTTGGAGTCATTCAACTACATTACTACTCATGGTAAGAAGCTTTATCATTACTATTTTTAAGTTATGGCTGTTTTTAGTTACTACTAATGCCTGTTTTAAGTTATGCCTGGCGTGAAATTGGGCGATCAAGTCATTAAAAAGAGTGCATGTTTTAGATATCTCGGGTTTATTGTTCAAAGCTATGGTGAAATAGATGGCGATATTACTAGTAGAATTGAAGTTGGATGGTTGAAGTGAAGGAATGCATCGAGCCTGTTGTGTGATAGAAAAGTACCCCTCATACTTAAGGAAAAAATTATCAAATGGTAATGAGACCTACATTGTTTTGTGGCGCATAATGTTGTCCATTAAAAGAGCAGCATAAAATTAAATTTAGTATTATAGAGATGAGGATGCTTAGGTGGATTAGTGATGGGGACATCAGCAGCGATTTCGACACATTTACCTTCAGGAGATGCCGGAGATCGACGGCCACGATCATGATTTGTATTTTCATCATTTTATGTAGTAGTTTATTTTTATTTTATGTTTTTCCGTTTTTGCCCTCATGGGTATTTGGTAGCTATTGTAGCATAAGGGGCATTTTAGTCTTTTGCTTTCTTTGTCATTTTGAGGCCTATTTATATGGCTCTTTTCTTACAACAACAACAACAACAACATCAAGCCTTTATCCCACTACGTGGGGTCAGGAAAAGATGCATCTGGATGTGGCAGAAGTCTCTCTCAATTCTGTAGTGGGATTCACTCCGAGTCACACTATGAAGGTGAAGGGAGAGATAGCTGACCGTGGAGTCGTGGTGTTGATTGATAGTGGAGCAACCCACAATTTCATTTCCACCAAGATTGTAGAGTTGCTGGGGATGAAGTTAGTGGATACTGGAGGCTATGGGGTGATGATGGGCACTGGCAAGGTAGAAATGGGAAGAGGACCGGTCTAACAGCAAGTTAAAAACCACGAATTCCAAGGAATCTTTTGCTTTAAGTGACAATTTTATTTTGGATTATTTTGTTAAATCTACTCTCTTTAATTTCCTTAAAGTAACTCCTGAACGGGTTTGTTTCACATCAATTAGTGGCTTTATATTTAGAGACAATGCAAAATGAGTTTATACGTGAAAATGTTGGAGTAGCTCCAATAAGATTAGAGAGAGTTGCCTGAGTGGTTTGGTCTCACGACTCTCATCAAGTGTTGATGTTCCGATGATCCGGTTAAGAGAGTAGATGTATTAGATCTGACTTATGTTAAGAAAAGTAGGTACAAGACAGACCGGTTAAACAGGTGGGCCCCACTAGGTGGGCGGCAGGCAAGAAGATCAAAGAGGAGTAATTACTTATCATAAAAACCAAGATTTAAAGGGGATTAATTAGGAGATGTTTCCTAATTAAAAAAAAGGCAAATTTTGGTGTGCTGATTTGGAGGCTAAATTGGAAGGGATTAATTAGGAAATGTTTCCTAATTAAATAAGGAATATTTGGGAGCTAATTTGGAGGGGATTAATTAGGAGATGTTTCCTAATTAGAAAGGGTGGATTTGGCGGCTGATTTGGGGATTGAATTAGAGGGTATTAATTAGGAGATATTTTCTAATTAGAGAGGGTTGATTTGAGAAGGAATTGGAGGGATGTTTTGAAATTTATTATTTTATTGTTTGCTACAAGTAGTAGGGTTTATGTCATGTTTGTATAGAGAGTTTGATTTGAGTGTATTGTAGTCTTCTTTTTGTGAGGGATCCTAGCGGCGTCTAGGATTTGGGAGAGAAGGTCCTTCTCTCAAAAGAGGACCATTGTATCTTGCTTTGTTCGTATTTGATTTTCTATCCATAAAAAATATGTTTTGTGTTGAATCTCTTTGAGTATGTTGCTGTTTTTGATACCAAGCTGCATTAAATTGGTATTAGAGCCAGGTTTTTTGGAGAGATGACAGCAAAGAAAGTAGATGCGTTGAAAAGCAAAATAGAGCTATTCAAATCTGGCTTGGAGAACTTTTTAACTATGGAGAATCGGATGGAGAGTCGATTTGAAGGGATAGAAGAGATGTTAAGGAAACTCATGAAGATGCAATCCAAAACTCCACCGGTGGTTTCAATTGCTAACCCTAACCCAAAATCGACTATGATTCCCTTTGCTGAATTTAAGGAAAAATAAATCGGACGAGAAGAGTTCGATAAGGACAGTTTCTTTCATCAAGAACTACCTCTTGGGGATTCAATAAGGGACAGATCGGGGTTTCTGAATGAAAGGGTGAATGATATAAAAAGCTTAGATGCACCTGTATTAGAACCTGGCCATAACCTTATTGTGCTTGTACCACCCCAAAAGCCAAGATCCTATGAATTAGGTGTTCTTACGGGGAAGATTGGCCAATTGCGATTCATATTGCATAGCCAAGAGGATGGTTGACTTGAAACTGAAAAGAAGGTGATTGTTATCCACATGTTTCATCAAATTCTGAAACTTTTCATGCTTAGGCGACGTGTCGAAGATGTGGAGGGGTCACTTACCTTTCAAGCAAAATTTTCAAGGTTGCTCTTTGGTCTAAGTCCAGGGGTATTAGTCAAGCGCTCAATAATAGTTTCTTTCATTCCACCTTGAGGATAAGGTGGCTCTTTGACAAGGGAGTATTAATAGACTAATTAAAGATGTGGGCCCCACTAGGTGGGCGGCTTGCAAGAAAATCAAAGAGGAGTAATTACTTATCATAGAAGACCAAGATTTAAAAGGGATTAATTAGGGTATGTTTCCTAAATAAAAAGGGCAAATTTGGGGGTTGATTTGGAGGCTTAATTGGAGGGGATTAATTAGGAAATATTTTCTAATTAAAGAGGGTAGATTTGGGGGCTGATTGGAGGCTGATTTGGAGGGGATTAATTAGGAGATGTTTCCTAATTAAAAAAAGGTAGATTTGGGGGCTAATTTAAAGGAGATTAATTAGGGGATGTTTCCTAATTAAAAAGGGCAGATTTGGGGGTTGAATTGGATGTGATTAATTAAGAGATATTTACTAATTGGAGGTGGCTGATTTGAGAGGGAATTAGTGGAGTGCTGTTTTGGAATTTGTTGTTTTATTGTTTGCTATAAGTAGTAGGGTTTATGCATGTTTATATAGAGAATTTGATTTGAGAGTGTTGTAGTCTTATTTTTGTGAAGGATCTTAGCGGCGTCTAGGGTTTGGAGAGAAGGTCCTCCTCTTGAAGAGAAATTATTATGTACGCAGTCCGAACACAGAATTGGGTTCGGATGCTGCGTATTTACTGCTTATTTTACTGCGTATTTTTTGATACATTATGTTTTTTACGTATTTTTTGCGTATTAATTGTGTATTTAGTGAGTATTATTTACGTGTTGCTTTTTTACACGAAAAAATTTGGTATAAAAAAATACGCAACACAATAAGCATTAAATACGCAGCATCCGAACGCGTTCGGATTACGTATAGAATAATTTCTCCCTCTTGAAAGAGAACTATTGTATCTTGTTTTGTTCTTATTTGATTTTCTATCAATAAAAATCTATTTTTATGTTGAATCTCTTAGAGTTTGTTGCTGCTTTTGATACTAAGACGCATCAGTACACCAAAAAAGATTTGATTAGAAAGTATTAAATATGATTTTTTTATTAGATTTAAATTAAAATTTGACTCTTAATAGGACATAATGAAAAAAAAAGATTCATGTAGCTGACCCACGTTGTGGGATAAAGACTTAGTATTGTTGTTGCCTGTTTTTAGTTTTCTGTTGGGAGACTTCAATCAATCAGCACATCCAAAAGTTCTTCTAACATCTTGTAGCATGTTAAAGTTAATAAATAAGTAGGTTATGAGATACTATATCGTCCTTGTCTTGCTAATTCAGTAATTAGGTTCAGCTAGTCATTGTAGCATTATTCTGGAGCAGTGACATTTGTTGAGAAAAAAAAACCTTGCAATTATTGCCCTAGAATAAGTTGAAGTTTGACAGTAAAAACATTGTTAAATTTTAAAGGTATGTTGCTATGGGGGGCAAATTCTAGTTTTTTAGCTATGCGAAATCTAATATAAGATAAGATAGCCAGTACCATTCAGAGGATTGCTATAGAAATTTTAGGGGAGTTTAAATAAACCATCTACTAATAAGGATATTTGGTGGAGTGAGGAGGTACATAGATTTATTAAAGAAATTAAATGCATATTCGAAAGATAGCAAAATTGAAGACTATTGAAATTTCTAATGATCATAAGGATGCTGTAAATATTGCAAAGAGGTAGTAACTAGAGCAAAATCTAGAACTTATGATTATTTATATAATAGACTTGGTATTGATGAAGAAGAAAATGAGATATAGAATATCTAAGATAAAAATAAGAGATTTATGATTTTAATCAAGGTATATGCATGAAGAGTGAAAGATAATATGATGTTGGTTAAAGATAAATACATTAAAGAAAGTTGGAAATATTAATTTGAGAAATTATTAAATGAAAGTTTTAAGGAAGAAATTGCTTTAGAATAGCACAATGAACACTACAATAAAATATCTTGTAGATTGATCAAAAGATTTGAAGTGGATTGAATTTTGAAAAAAGATGCATGAAGGTAAGGTTTCGGGTTAGAGTTTTGATAGCCATTATAAGATCATTTGATAAATCTTTTCAATGGGTTCTGAAGAATAAGATGATGCCAAATAATTGGTAAAGAAATATTTTGATATAAATATTAACAAATAAATTTGATATTCAAGATTGTGGTAATGATTAAAATGAAGCTATGGAGAGAGTAATAGGATATAATTGGAAAAATTACATCAATTTTTGGGGACCAATTTGGTTTCATGTCATGAAGATCTACTATGAAAGTAGTTTTTTTTCTTAGACAATTAATGAAATATATAGAACAACAAAATGATTCTTGTATGATTTTTATTGAACTTGAGAAGGCATATGATTAAGTATCATAAGAATTAATTTTGATGCGCATTAAGGTAGAAAGTTGTTTTAAAGATAGATGACATTAATAAAGATATGCATGATAGAGCACATTAAAAATTAATAATGAGTCATTATCTTTTTATGCTAGTTATGAAGATATTTCTAATAGATATTCAAAGCATTGTGCCTTGGTGAATGCTTTCCGCATCTGTTGAAATGTGAAAAATTAAAGCAGGCGATGAATTATTTTTAGTTGGAGGCCTTAGAATTTGTAGAGCAAAGACTAACTTTATGATATGTAATTTTAGTGATTTGATATCAACAATTATCATTCAATATTATTAGAAGATAAAATGACAACTTGGTGTGATGTGTTTAGTATCTATAATATATTATGCTGAAGAAGAGATGTATATATAAAGATATAATTTTTAGTGGTAACGTTTGATGATTAAAATAAAAAAGTGCATCAAGAGTTTTTTCTTATGATTAGAGAATACATTTTATAAAATTGTAATTAGGTCAACAATATTTTATAGCTTTGAATGTTAGTTTGTAAAACAAGTCATTGATATGTTAGTTGAGTGTGATAAAATGAGAATATTAAGATGGATGTGTGATAAATTTAGGAAGGATAAATTAAGGATTGATTATATTAGAGGAAATATTGGAATTAATGTGATTTATTAATGATGATATGAAGATGATGTGCATGTTAGATAAATGTATACAACTAGTGTTCAAGGATTATCAGGAAAATGGGTATACTTAAGGTTACATGTATATAATTTGTTCAAAGTGATTTGTGAAGAATATGTTTAATACCTCAAATATCATTCAATAGCAATGAATAAAAGATGAGGATTAATAACATCGATCTCAAATATTGGGATACTGCTAATAATGATGTTGAGAAGAGCCATGTCATAAGCTTGTGTCTGCCCTAGTGACATTCTTATATTGTGCTAGATTGTCACTTTATGTGGCAATTTAACTTACCAAGATTATTATTTTTTGTTTTATACGGTTGGACATCTCAAATCCATTTATTATTATTGTTGTAGGAATTAATTCGATATATCTCATTGATTGATTATTGGAGCCTATATATATTGACATAGAAGTCGCACAATAATAAACAAATAACAAGAAAGATACTCATAATTAATGAGGGAATAAATGAATATTTATCAAATTGGGTATTCTTCTATTATGATATCGCTTAATCTATATATAAGTAGAGGAGAAAAGTTATCAAGGTGATATGGAGGAACCCGATTGAGGAGGTATTTTTTGTTAAGGGATGTTAAGGTGCCACCAACACCCACCCCCCCAGCATTTCCTAAGTGAGTAAGAATTGGGCTTGGCCCCAAATGTTTGAGTGGAAAAGAACAAATGTATGGTGTTAACAACCAGATAAAGAAGAAGGAAATGACATATGATGATGTTTACTTAATTCACAAGGACATTCAAACTTAGAGAGTGACAATGAGTTAAGCATATTCTTGAAGTTTGTCAGGAGGAGAATGGCTCAACCAATAGTGTTAATAATATGGGGTATTGATGGAAAAGAAAATATTAGCGTAAGTGGTCAAGCAGTAAATTTGATTGGCTTCAACACCTTCATCAAACTACTTATTTGAGCTGAGGAAAATATAATGAGAGGGATAAAAGGTCACTAAAGAAATATAAGTTTTGTTAAGTCGATAAATGGATGGTAAATTGATAGGAAAATGTGGGACATACAACTTTGAAAGAGATATTTGGGGGATGCACAACACCCTTTCCGAAAATGGGAGAGGGAGAACCATAAAAAACAATAACAAGTGGTAGAGAGACATATGAAGAAATGGAAATAGGTGGCAATTGCCTGTGATATGAGAAAAGGCACTTGATACTGAATTTCAGGACATACTATTACAATTGCTACATATTCAAATGAAGAGACATCATACTAGGCAGATATTAATGCTTGTGATTGTAGGAGTACTATGTTACAGTCTTCTTGAGAGAGTGTTTCTGATTTGGAGGACGAGGCACTTGAGAAGGCAGACTGAATGTAGAGGCATGTTGAGTAGTAGAGGTATTGCCAAATTTATTCCAACAATGTTTAAGAGGATGATTAATGTGGTTGTAATAAGAGCAAGGGGAAAAAGAATTGTTGCCAGGGCCACTACCACTCTTAGTTTTTCACAGTGCCCATTCATTGCTCCTGTCACCTTAGAAACATTAGCTAAAATTGATTGATCGGGATGAGGATTGGGGAGTTGGATGGCATGAAGAATACGGAGAGAGCAATCTTTATGGTAAGCAATGTGGAGTTGACCATTAATTGAGTATGCACACCGTGCTAGGATATATGCAAGCTAGAGATAAATTTGGCATCAAGGCATTCTTTGTTTTGCCTTTTGTCAAGTAGTTGGTTTGGTTGTGAAGGGGTGATATCGAAGTGACTTCTCTCATTGCCTCTTAGAGAACTATAATATTAAATTATTAATCGATCTGCATATCAACTTGCTAGAGAAAGAAGCTTTTATGGTAAAGATTGTAAATACATGGTATACTACTCTTTGGAAAATAAGTGGAACGAAGAAAGGCTCATATTTTTCTAGTGAAATATTGAAACATGATAGTTGAGAAAATTCATTGTTTAAGACTATTAACTAACTGGGTAAGACAATGTAATTAAATGTTTACTATTTAGAAATATTGATGGTATCATTGTTGTTTCGAGGAGATGCATCAGGATGATGGAGTTTATTGTTAGAACCGAGAAGGGAATGAAAAGCTCTTGTACGCATGATATAGTTTGTACTGTTGAATATGATGGAGGAGGATTTCTTCTCAGGAAGATAAGAGATAATCCATGACATTGTGAGGAGAGAAACCTAAAGATTTGGGAGGAAACTCAAAACATGGATATGGAAAGTTCAGAGCTTGACAACTCATGTAGCAAGAGTGAGCTGTAAGCTGATTGTAAAAATCGGGTCAGAGTGTCAGACAGAGAACTGTAAGGAGATGTTTAAGATTCAATTGATCGATCGGGATTGACTTGGATGATATAATAAATATTAAAATTATTTAAATAAGATCTAAATACATAATAATGATGTTAATTATACTATAATATAAATTTGTAGCTAAAAAATAATCAGAATTTATACACAAATATCATCTTCAGTATTTAAATTTGGTTTAAATTTAATTCACTTTTAAGCTTATAAATTTAATATGGCGGTTCTAACTGGTTTAATGTAAAGGCGGATTTTAAGATCGATCGGACCAGTCTACGGTTGGATCGGTCGATTCAGATAGTCCGATCTGATTTTCAAGACCAAGGTTGTAAGAGTGTGAGTAGATGCAGAATAGACCAAGAGCCAATGGTACAATAACTAGAAAGAATAAGGGCATGCATATGTTGAGTTGGACATTAAGCACATGCAATAAGAAAGGGCATTTAGCCTAGGGCATATACAAGCAACAGTATTTAGATCCTTCTCTTAATATCTGGTACCATGTTGAGAAGCAAGAATTTATATATCTCATTAATTAAATCTGAGCTTAGATATAGACAAACATGTTTGAGTATGATAAGAAACAAGTAACGAGGAAGTTTATTCTGAGGAGAATCATGAAAAAAAAAAAAAAGTAACGAGGAAGTTAGTCATCATTATTGAGGGAATAAATGAATATTTCCCAATTCAGATATTCTCCTAATATGATTCATAATAATATTTTCCTAAAATACTTTATGCGTCAACTTTTAAAATGGTCTCCAATTGCTGATTAATGAATGAAAATCAGTTCTGTGCATCTGCCAAGCCTCTGAAGTTGCCTCACTAAAAATACTGTCAACCACCTTTTTTTAAAAAAAATGAAATCTGATTTCTTTTTCGTTTTCATTGATGATGACGTTGGTCAGGTCATGCAAATGGAGTTGAAAGAGTAAATTGCATATTTGGTTGACATAATGTTTATAGGAAATTATAAAGTTTGAAGTGAAGCGCTTTTAAATAATAATTCTCGTAAGTTTGATTTGGACAATCTTTGAATAAGATAAAGTGTAAGCCGTGTAATTTTTAGGAATAGTAGAGAAATTTTATTCATGTAAGAGAAAGATTTTCGAATGGGGAATTTCATCATAGTTTTGTACTTTATTCGAATACATGAATCCATCTAACAGCGAATAATTTATAATCTTACACATTTTATTACTTCGAAAATACATTTGACATATATTCCTAGTGGTGCTGTGATCTCATTCCTCACCAACTTGATTTGTAGCTTCGACTAATACTTAGTATACTTGAGCTATGAAGTTGTTCAATTGATATAGTTATCTGTCTTGAACGAAAATCTTTTCCATAAGGCGGAATGGAAAGAGGCCAATCTGCATGTTTTGCTCTTTTTTGGAATGATTATTTTTTTAATCTATTTGTTCCAACTAAAATCTTGAGATTCATATCTTTTGCTCACATTATGGGAGTGCAGGCAACTTCAGTTTTACTGAGAGGTTAACTACAAAGTATGCTGGGGCTGGAGTGATGTACATGGTGTCCAAGAAACTGAAGAAGAAGTATGGCATCACTGATGAGCGTGCTGCTTTGTATGATGCAGCACAAACATGGACAAAAGCTATTGACGGCAGAGATTTTCTTGGTAGGTTTATGGCTGGTATTCTGCAACACATCACTAAATTCACCTAGTTTACTTTCTTTCAGAGACTTAGGCCTTGTTTAGTAATACTTTTTAATTGTTTTTCTTTTCATGATCTTGACCTTGTAATAATGATTTGGGGCTTTTATTGGTGTACCACTCAGCATCCTAAATTTTAATGTTTTATAAAAAAAGTCTATATATTATTTGTAACATTCCACTCAATCAACTCACCTTGTGAAACTTCAACCGTAGATGAGTAAACTAAGTTTAAATATAGGTTCTAAGGGACTCACCGCACCCAATTGATTCAACACAGCTAATAAACTGATTTGGGTAGAATTATTGGCCAGTTAGGTTGATAAGCATGCTTAGCTCATTGTCATTATCGACCTGGCTATATTTTTTAGGATTTTATCTGACTTAAACTCCCTCATGTTGAAGAGAGGGTTTTTTTTTTCTAATCAAGTTGAACTTAAGGGTGAATTCTTAACAAAAATAATTGCATATTCCATTTGGTTTTATCTTTGTCAGAGATTAGAGGGTGGGATGGTATGTCTCTAATATTAAAGATTACCAAAGTAAAATTGAGTGGTAGGACAATTAAAATCCCCTTGAACATTCTTGGAACTTGCGACACATTTTCTTCATGTCTATATCTATGAATTTAGCATTGAATTCATTTTTTAATGATCACCATCATAGCAAAAGCATAAGATACAAATGAAAACTTATTTAATACTTGAAATGCCAACGCAGGCGGCTCCAGGCCTAATCTTGCAGACCTTGCTGTCTTTGGTGTTCTTAGACCAATTCGCCATCTGAAGGCTGGTAGGGATATGGTTGAGAACACTAACATTGGTGAGTGGTACCAAAGAATGGAAGCAGTTGTTGGAGATTCTTCACGTCTCCCGGCCTAAGAAGCCAACATTTTGTATTAACCAATTTTTATGCACAGCCAGCGTGGCTCAGTTGAGTTGCTGAAATTTTGGCTAATATTTGAGTTGCGGCATATATATATACAATATGTGGCTGTTTGGCGCATTTGTTTGATTGATAGCTGGGTCTGGTACGTATGCGATTTATAGACATTAAAATTAGTCTACTTGCAGCCATTTACTTTATTTTTTATACTATATGATCTTGTATACATTCACTGAAATTATTCCCCAAATAAGATTCAAAAATGCTTTTTTATGTATTGTGTTGCTTGTAATCATAGTAGTCCTGGTAGGCACAGTTGTATTGTTTTTTTAAATTCACTGATATTTATATTCCATGATGGTTTGGTCACATTAAACGGATGCCTTCCGATGACCCGGTTAGGAAAGTTGAGGTATTAGATTTTACTTGTGTTAAGAAAGGTAGGAGTAGACCTAAAAAACTTGGTTAGAAAATATTAGAAATGATCTTTCTTTATTAGATTTAAATGAAAATTTGACTTTTAATAAGACACAATGACGAAAAAGAATTCATGTAGCCGACCCTACCTAGTGGGACAAAGGCTTGATGTTGTTGTTGTATATTTATATTCCATGAGTTGATGATACAACAGAAAGCGGATAAATACTTCGTTTGGAGAGGGCTTTTGGTACTCAGAATTATCCTTCGTTTGCCTTATTCTCTTTGAGCTTTTAGAAAAATCTTCTTCAATTTCAATTCTTTTCCTTGATTTTGCTCTGGAATTCCGATGCCAATAGCTGATCCCTACTGTTTGTAGGACTCCTGGTACAACCAAGTACAACTCTTATTCTATTTTCTTCTCTTTGAACTTCATCAAAAACTTGTTCATTTTTCTTCCAAATCGTTTTATAGTGTTGTGAACTATATATTGACATCTATTTATTATATTTTCCATTGAATTTATAATTCGGGCCATCACTAAAGCATTATTGGTGTCCATGTTGGGAATAAATGATTACTTGCCTGAGATTATCTAATGTTATCATTCAAGTATTCAATCTTTCCCTCTTCATCATATCAACATTTTAGTCCAAACATGAAATTTGAGGAGTTGAGTGCCTCAATGTTGATGGTGTGGTTCATAAGAATGAAGAGCCTATTGTCTTCCCATCCTTGCTACAAATGAGATCAAAAGGGGTAGGGGTGTCAATTTTTGACACGACCCAAAACACAACCCGAACCTGACCCGAAAAAATCCGGGTTAGTGTCAACCCGGACCCGAAACAGGTCGGGTTCAACAAATCAACCCATTTAAAAAATCGGGTCGGGTTTGGGTTGACCCAGCAACCCGAAATTGACACGAAAACTCCTATTTGACTCTGAAACACGAGATTGATCCGATTTTGACCCGAAAACTAGCAATTTTAGGTCAACTTCGGGTCATTCATGTCGGGTCAGGTTTGGGTTCGGAAACTTGACCCGTTTTTAAAAATGGGTCGGGTTCGGGTTGACCCGAATAGTGCCGGGTCAGTTCCAGGTTCGACCTGAACCCGACCCGTTGACCCGAATTGACACTCCTAAAAAGGGGGAGAAAAAACAAACAAACAAACAAATATGATCACAAGATTGCACTAATAGAGCGAGCAATTTGCGTTAAGAAAAGTGATTATATTTATATAATTTAGGTTTCATTTGGGACAATTATCTCACTGTTTCTTAAAACAGCTTTCTAGTACAAAAATTAAAATTTTTTTACTAAAAAAATTGCTTTAAGAAGCAGTGAGAAAGCCGTCCCAACGGAGGCCTTAAAGTTAACACTAATGTTACACTTCAAAAATTGGATATATGAGAAATATTCATAAGCCCAAACCCTAATTATTGGTGTGCAGCAAATAGTAATATAGAATATGTAAGCGGCTACATATGTAGTGAAACTTGTTAGGTGGTTGAAGCATTATTGGTTTCCTATCTACCTCTTACAGCTGCTTCTGCCTGCATCATGAATGCCACTTAATTCATGAAGTACTTGCACATGTTGAGTTCTCAGCTTACAAACTGATCTGATATTTCACTTATATCATCAATCCTATTTTGCCTTAGAATTGATCAAGAATTGGACAGCATTTCATTCAAAACTGAGTTAACTCAAATCAGATTGAAGTTTCTTTTGGGATAATTTTCTTATTATTTTTAAATTTTTTTTTTCAATTTTTATACTAAAAAGTTGTTTTAGAAAGCAATAAGAAAGTTATCTCAAACAAAACTTTAGACTTTGTATTAAAAACTTGATTTAAAAAATAAAAAAAAATTGTCTTACACTAAGCCTATATTTGTTTACTGTTATATTCAGAAGTCATTTCTGAGCAAATCATAGAAATATAACAGATTTATGTTTAATTAATATTTTTATTTTATGATGATAATTATCTTTATAACCATATTATTTTTCATCTTAATGTAGATAGCATAACTTTTTTGTTTTTGTTTTTTGTTTTTTTTTGTAGATAGCATAACTATTTTCTCTATTAAGCATCAAATTTCTGTACCTGTTTTACTGTTATTTGCTGTAGCTGCACTGCACATTAATGCCTGAAATCATTGCATGTTCATTCACTTTCATTTTTTTTTCTATTTCATCCCTATTTATTATTTGCCTTATATTTATTTTTATATTTAGATCAATTAAGATAAATTCACACACATCACATATATAAGACTTAAATCTAAAACTTCTTAGTTAGCCAAAACTCTTAACCGACGGACCATGATGAGCTGCGTAATTTGACTTACATTTACTTCTTCTTTTTTTTTTTTTAAATACAACTCACATTGATTTGTTGGTTGAGAGTTTTAACTGTGAATCAAGAGGTCTTGAGTTTGAATCTTATTTATGTAATATGTATGAATTTATCTTAATTGATCTATATCTCCTAATAAAATTATAAAAATTTTGACTGTACAGACAGTAATAGATTTTTTTTTTATTTTTTTTTTAATTTAAAGCTGGCCTTGCACTGTGGTCAGAACAACTGCCAATAAATTTACAGTCCTATACAAGTATTTTATTACCAGTGGCTGGAAGGGGTTGTTGCATCCCTGCCTGTACATATCTTCATAAAATCAAAATTTTGAACATGTTACTAAAATATTTTAGTGATTTTTACATACAGAACATCTAAAACTATTATATTTACTTATCTAACGCACAAACTATACTATTTACAAAACTACCACATAAATGCTTTTCACTTCATCTAAAATACTACTCCGTAACTCCCGTCGTAATCTTAACCCGACCCTGTCTTTTGCACGTGAAACTCCTCTCTTCTTCTTAGCTCCCGTCGTAATTCTACCCCCGACCCTGATTTTTATATATGTCATTTTGAAATTAGTTTTAGCTATATTTAACTAAATTTAACTAACTGAAATTAATGACACTTCTTAACAGAACTCAGTCCAATATGTAAATTGCATATTCCACATTAAGGTTTTTTTTTTTTTTTGCCAATTAAGACAAACAAATACGCATCATAGTCAAAACTTTCAACTGATAGACTAAAGTTTTGTTTTGGATGACTTTCTTATTGCTTCTTAAAGTAGTTTTTTAATATAAATTTTTTTAATTTTTTTATTAAAAAATTATTTTAAGAAGCATTAAGAAAGCTGTCTTAAACGAAGCCTAATAAGATATAGTGCTTTATTAAATTACAAAAATATAAGTAGGTAAAAGCTCATTTAAAATTTGGGCAATATATATAAATAATTATCTAGTTTAACAAATTTATATATTTGATAAATAGATATTTTTTATATTTAGATAAAGAATATTTAAATTTTTAAAAATATTATTGATATTGATTTTAATTTTATATATATATATATATATATATATATA